TGGCGGTACGATTCCGCACCGAAGAACGCGCGGTCCTGCGAGGTGGCGTGACACGACGTGACATGGACAGGGGTTAGGCATGCATGCACGCATGTATGTATGTATGTATGTATGTATGTATGTATGTATGTATGCATGTATGTATGTATGTATGTATGTATGTATGTATGTATGTATGTATGTATGTATGTATGTATGTATGTATGTATGTATGTATGTATGTATGTATGTATGTATTCCGCGCTAAGCCACACAGCCTCCCCTTCGTGGTGCTGTTTGACGTTCTATGTACGTTCAAAAGAGCCTGGCGGCGGCCTGGCAGACTAGGTGGCTCCCCAACGATAGGCCCCCACAGCAGCAGGAGCCGCAGCCTCCCCACGACACATCTGTCTGCACAATGTCGAGTCGGCCCTCTCTCCTCTCTCGTCCGCTCACCTCCATAACCGACTCAATGTTGAAACGTGGCAGTTACCAGTTTTGGCAAAATAAGTGGCCCTTCGGTAAGCTCTCCTTTCCCTCACGCACACACATACACACATACACACACATACACACATGCCAGTCCCCCTTCCACCCCTTCCCCCCACCCCACCATGATGAGGCCGGTAGGGGGCGCCGTGGGCACCGTTATGAGGAAGGGCCGAGCGGGGTCCAGGGCGGTTCGCATGCAGTCGGGGGGGGCGGTGCGCCGGGCCACAGCCAGCGCCAAACCCACCATGCGGCGAATCTGGTGCATTAAGAAGCCGCAACCCACAAACACGATACGCACGTAGGGAGTCGGAGCTACTGGCACATCATCCCCGGCCGCCGCCTTCGCCTCCGCCGCCACCTCCGTTAGCTCTGCCGTATCCGCCGGCGGTGGCGGCGATGGCGCTGTCGGGGTTACGGAGACCGGCCGCGGAGCAGCAGCGGTACCGGTACCGGCACCGCCGGCGGCGGGGACGGCGGCGCCGGGGTTGTGGCAGGGGCCAGCAGGGGGAGGGGGGCTGGAGGCGGAATCCGAGGGGGAGGAGGGCGGCGGGAGTACGCTGGCGGTGGTGTTGGTGTTGGTGTTGATGGTGCTGGTGCTGGTGGCGGCGTCCAAGGATGCAGGCGGGACGGTACGGCGGTCTCCGGATTCAGGAGTCAGCTGCCCGTGCTGTTGCTCGGGTCGCTGCTGCTGCTGCTGCTCCTGTTTACGCTGTCTGTTCATTTGCTCTGTACGGCAGGGTGATGTGCCGCCAGTCAGTGCCACTGGCGGTGGGGCCAGCGCCTGAGCCCCGGACGGGATGAGGTGCTCCGAGACCTGGAGCGGCGGCTGCGGCGGCGACTGGGGCTCAGGACCAGGTGTTGATGTGGGCTGGGGTTGGGGCTGCGGCTGCGGCTGGGTGGGCGAATTCCTCCCGCAAGTGGGAGAGATGGTGGCCATGGTTGTGGTAGTTGCAGCGGTTGCAGCGGTTGCAGCGGTTGTAAGGTAGACGGGGCCCTCAGCGTACGCTCGGTGTATTGTACGGCGGAGCTCCCGGGGGTCGTCCGCGGGCTGACCGGGGAGGGAGGGGAGGGGGGAAGGGGTATGGTGTGGTGTGGAGAAGGAAGTGCGAGGGGACTCGGGGACGAGGGCTCCCCTCTCGTTCCCCCCCTCTCCCCCTCCCTTCCCCCCTACCGCGGCTCGAGCTAGGGTTTCCCACTCTCGCTGGTGGGCAGTTGGGACAACGTATTGCTTGTGATGAGGCCACTCCCACGACAACACCACGCAACACCATGATAAGCCCCCCAACCCCCCCAACCCCCCCCAACACATATCCTACGTAATATCATCATACCATCACGCACTCTCTCTCTCTCTCTCTCTCTCTCACACACACACACACACACACACGCTGATACCCCTTAGACAGCAGGCAGGCAGATGCGTCCTTCATTCTCCCAATTCTCCCACGCACACCGACAGCTCCACCATATCCATGAACTCCGTATCTGTTACACGTACACGTACACGTACACGTACACCCGCACCCGAGTCCCCCCCGGCAGGGTCACACACACCACAAGGGGGCACCACCACCACCACCACCACCACCACCACCACCACCACCACCACCACCACCACCGTGTCACCTCTACCGACCGCGGCCGCCCTACCTACCTCGCTGGTGAAGTTGTGGAAGCAGTGAGAGCCCACGAACACCTCGAGGATCAGGTTCAGCCGCTTGAGCTCCAGGGGCGTCAGCTGGAAGGCGGAGGAGGAGATCTCTGACACGGCACGACGGAGAGTCCGCTGCGCTGTGGTGCCGCCGCCGCCGGCTGCTGCTGCTGCTGCTCCTACTGCCCCTGCTGCTGCTCCTGCTGCTGTTGCTGCTGCTCCGGAGTCGGCAGCAGCAGCAGCCGCAGCCGCAGCCGGGGGAACAGGGCGTTGGCACTGTCGCTCCGTTAGGTTTTTGTGTTCCTGTGTTGGTTGATCTTGCCGTTGTTGTTGTTCATCTGGTCTTGTTTTCCGTTTCCCCACTGACGGGTCCAGGGCCCACACGGGCACCAGGTACTCGTATCTGGGCGGTTGAGCGCAGGAGGGGAGGGGGGAAGACGGAGTGCGGGGAGGATTTCCCGGTGGTGGGGGGGGGGGAGAGCTGGAGGAGGCGGATTGGGGACAACCGGTAGCGTGGTAGCTGTTTTCAATAGCCAAAAAAACAACATTTTGGGCGGAATTTTTTCGCTAAAATTTCGTGTAGGATTTCTTTATTCATCGGCCTTTCTATTTAGCTAAAATATTTTTACGAATATATTACCAGGGAGCTATTTCGCGGACACGATGCGTGTATGTATGTATGTATGCGAAATGGCCGCGTTCGGTCCTGGGCTCAGGATCTGCCCCATGGCCAACTGAGCATTGGATGACCAGCAGGCTGGTGCCCTTAAGGAATACAAGTAAAACGAGCAGCTGTGCCAAAGGAGGCGCACTGACTGTCGCTGTCGAGCTAAACTCGGCCGCAAGAGGCCCGTTCCTAGAACTAAGAACACGCACCATCAGAGACACACACACACACACACACTCACACACGCTCACAGGATAGGTGCGATTCCGTTCTTTTCGAGAATTTAGAAAATTTCCGAAAGTAAACAGCACAGGACAGCGCAATACAGCGCACGTGTATGAGCAAGTGAAAGGCCGGTATGCGGCGCACACCCCCCCTCTGGGGGGCCCAAGGCACCAAGACACGGAGCGCTCTCCGAGTTGCCAAACCCCACCCGGCCCCATGTCGTACATCCGCCACCTCGGCAGCTCCTCAAGGCCCACGTGCGGCTCTTTCCCTCACACGACGCCATCGCAATGTACGGCGGCGAAAGTGGGCAGCCATACCTGCGCCCGTAGGCAGCCCGCCGAGCCTCAAAGTTGGGGCCGGGCCGCGTCGCCGTCCAAACTTTCACCGCGGATGGCAGGGCGGCATTTACCAAGTTGACCAGCGGCGTCAGGTCAGCGGCGGCGCCGCCACCGCCGCCACCGCTGTTACCGCGACCGCCCGCTGCGTTGGCGGCCGCCGCGGCGGCGGCCGCGCCAGAGGGTATGTCCAGAGATACCACATTAGCAGCCGCACTCACGCCTTTGTCTGTACGGGATGTACGACTCCAGTTCACCTGCAGCGTCGGCGGCGGCAGCGCCGTACAGTAGAACCATTTGTGATTGCTATCCCTAAGCAAAACTCAGCACAGTTGCGCGGGAGCCGCTCCGTCATCCGTCCCGTTCAATTTCTCCGACCCAGTTCAGCCCGAGTACGGCATGCCGTACCTTATGGAGCGCTCCTGCATGCCGCGCCTGCAGTGCCCCCGCCGCCACCAGCGCCCTCTCGAGCTCTTGTTCCACGGTGGGCCTGCCAGTGTTGTCAGGCTGCCGTTGAAGCCCCTGTGAGCGAAGGGAAGTGGCCAGGCCAGTGCAGGCCAGGTCATGTCAGTGCATGCCTGGAAGCGCATGCAAGGGGTGATTCCGGGGTTAAACAGTGATAGACCGTTTGGTTTTGCATATATTGGGCAAGCGTGGGGCATTCTGCAGGCGCAAAGGAGGACGACCGCCTGGGTGTGTGGGCGGAAGTCCAAAGGACGTGGCTGCACGGACGGCGGCGCTGGGAGCAGCCTTCGGATGGCTGCCATATGTCCAACGCCGCTCATATGCTTTCAACTTATTTTGGTGAAATTCTGGATACTCCCATGTGATGATACAGGAACATAAAAGTAGCCTAGTGTTAGATTACGACCGACAGCTTACTTACGAAGTAACCTGCGCCGTCATATCCACATACGAAAGCAACCCTCTGCATATTATCCGCTCCTCCAGCATAATTTGCTTTTGGTAGGGATGGAGCACGGAAGCTTTCTGGACGGAGCGGCCGTTGATGTACGGCACCGTTGTAAACTGCCGAGCGCTGGAGCCGTTCTCCACAGCTAGACCGCGCAGATGTGCATTCTTTTACAACCTCTTACCATAACACGCATTTCGCTTTTTTAGTTTGCTTACGCCTGTGTTTTGTTGTGATATATCTTGAAGATCTTAGGTTAGGTCTCGACTTTAGCGATATGCAGATCCCGTTATTAACGCTTTTTGTCTCATTATTGGCGATAGCTGGCAGAGTTGCTGCAAATGATGAGATCACCCCAGTTATGTCCGATGAACGCGTAGTGTTCCAAACGGAGTATGGTGACATCACGTTCGGGTTTTGGCCAGAGGTACGCATGCACACAGTATGAAGTTTCAAGCTTGAGGATTATATGCATCCTGGATATCATTTCTGTAACAGCTTTTCAACACAATGCTCACCACCAGGTGGCGCCGGTAACGTGCGCCCATATTTTCAAGCTAATCCGCATGGGTTGCTTTATCAGGTAAGTTAGGATTAGAGCAGCATCTTGTACCAGAAAGTCCATGGGAGGCCTTCGCGCCCCGGCCTTTACCCCCCTGCACCCATCACTACCTCCTTCCCAACCGGAAAACTCGCAGCAACCACTTTTTCCGCGTGGACAAGGGTTTCGTTGCGCAGATCTCTGATGTCGTAGGTGGTCGCACGGTTCCTATGAACGATGAGCAGCAGAGAGAGGCCTCCAAGACGGTGCCCCTCGAAGTCATGCAGGGCGTGAAGCACCATGCCGGTGGGTGCTACGGCAGACGGTGCACCTGCGCTCCTAATCCCGCTCCTCTCCATACACAATGCATGTCGTCAAGAGTTTCGTTGAGCTCTGTCATAGTCCAGCGAAGCTCTGATAGGCGACGCAGCGGATGGGCACCTGCCTACAGACGGTTAGCCGTACGGTTACGCTCTAATGTTACAAATTTAAATTTAGGGACATACGTCAGACAGGGAGCGGGGGACCAGAGCGAGTACACGGGGTACTGTCCCCAGGGCCCTTTTGTCAGCTGCCACCGGTTCATTGGGCACCATCAGGTGCGCCCTCTGCCGCCGCCGCCGCTGCCGCTGTCGCCCTGCAGCAGCAGCCACCGCCGCCGCCACTGCTGATGCCGTCGTTGCAGCCACCGCCGCCTCGTGACGTTGGTTGTTTGTCTGTCTGTCTGGTTGTGTGTGGTGGGTTCAGGCGTGCTTTCTATGGCGCGTGGAGGGAATAAGAACGGCGCACGGAGCAGCTTTTCGGTGCTGCTGGGCGACGCGCCGCATCTGGATATGGAGTATGCGATCTTTGGGTGGGTCGCGGCTTAGGAAGTTCTGAGGGGGCAGTGGGTCGTTGGGGGGAGGGGGCAGGTTAGGGAGTTTGGCAGAGTGGCAGCGGAACTTTCTTAGTGGTAATATCCTGGCTGGTTGGTGCTCAGATCTTAGGTTTGCGTTTGCTTTTTGGCGTGCATGGTGCGAAGAAGACTAAGAAGGGCTGTGCCATTGGGCAATGAGTGCGAGAGTGCGAGGAGGATGCTCCGTGTTTGTGCGTGGGTTCCGTTCTGTGGCCGTGCGTGCTTGGAGTGTATTGCAATTCGGTTTGTTTATTCCTAGGCGCGCAGCAACATAATTGTATAATGAGGTGTTGTAGCGGGTGAGTTAAGGTCTAGTGAACGTTGGGGCAGCAGTCTGGGTTGTTGTTCGCGTACTTCGAGCCCAATGGGGCTCTGCTGGATCGGTTTGCTGTTGCTGTATTCTGATGTCAGACTGTTGTGTTTCGTTTATTCAACGAATTCTGAGCAGGGAGTCCCTGTACCGCTGATGTCTCCCTGACCTGGCTGTTGTCGTTATGGCAGCGATAGCGGCAGCGGTCAACTATTGTTGTTTTTTGTGGTGGTGATGGTGGTGGTGGTGGTGGTGGTGGTGGTGGCGATGACGGTGCGATGGCGGTGAAACCGGCAGCGGCCTTGCCGATGGGTACAGCAGCAGCGGTGGCGGCGGTACGCAGCGGCAGGGCCACCCATCCTCCATTCACGCTCATCATCACCAGCGACCTGAAAAAAGATGTTAGCAGTCAGGCCGACCCGGAGCCCTACTGCACCCGGAGCCTACGCCACGCATAGCAGGGCCGCCCTTGTCCTCCGCATCTCTGTTCCCGACCTTGCTGTTTGGGCCGTTGCCGCCCTTGCCGCTGGCGCCGATCGGTGTCCCGGCAAACCCCGCTTCGCTCCGTTCTTCCATGCTCCACAGGCGTGTTATCGATGGGGCGCTATGATGACCCCAACTCGGGTGCCTCTAGCTTCAGCATTCTGCTGGGAGATGCACCGCACCTTGACATGCAGTACACCGCATTTGCGTTGAGTGGCGGGTCGAGGAGGGGGTTGGTGGGGAGGGCCACGGGTAATGTGTCCTTGTGGGAATGGTGGAGCTGCGGGCGGGGGGGGTTGGACGTGTGCAGGTCTGTGGGCGCTGCCGGCAGACATTGTTTGGCTGAGCAAGGAGTGATGTTTCGGTTGCCTCTTACCGCGTTGCCTATGCATGTTTTAGCACGGACGGCGCGAACGATGGGGTTGTTGCCGTTGCGGCCCGACCGGGGTAGCGGAGACTGGGCATCCAGCGGGCGTCCGGGCGGATGGCGTTGTTTTTTTCGTTGCATGCGGAGCTCGTGGTGGTGGCGGACCTGGCGTGGCTGGACGATAAAGAGTCGAATAGCCTTGCCTGTTGTGGTGTGCGGACAGTACCTACCAAACCACTCCACTCCACAACACACACATGTAGCAACTGCAGCACAAAAGCATGAGCGCATCCGCAGTGGTGTATGGACGGGTGGACGGTCTTGTGCTTATACCTCCATTTTGCCGCACTGAAATGCTAGGGGAGTCGGAGCGTATATATTGTGCGTAGGGTGGGAAACGAGTAAATGGATGCCCGCGATGGTGCAGCATTTGGTTTGTTGACAGGTTGGAAAGTCGGTTGCCTGGCCTGGCTTTTGCCAAAACTGCCTGCTAGCGCTGGAAGGTGGATGTTCTGCTCCGTTCACACGCATAATCCCCTGTGGCATGTGCTTACCTTGAGCACCCGGCTGCCTCCATGTCACACCTGCGTTGTATTTGTATTGCGTTCAGCATGTTGCGTTACAGTGGATGCACCATATACGTCTGTTGCACCATTTATCTCTCCTCTGTGCTCCCCTCGGAAGTGGCGCAGTCACCACACTGATTATATCCTGTTGCTGTCTCCACACTCCACCTGCAGCAAGGTGACGGAGGGCATGGAGTCTCTGCGGCGGATGGAGGAGCTACCGACTAGGCGGGAGGGCATCTTCGGTGAGGTGTTCGGTGCCATGCAGTCCGTGCAGCCTTTTTACCACCTCCTGCCTCCTACACGGATTGAAACCATGGACATCTATCTTAACCTCATCCTTGGCTGCTGTCTTCTGATACTGTGTCTTATCCCGCTTTGTGGCGCCAGCAGTTGGACCCACTCCCCGCCTTATGTGTTGCCGGCGGGAGAGGGACACCTCGTTGCCCACAACATAGCCATTGATACCTTTAATATGTGACTTGCACATGCAACCTCGCAGTGATGCCAGTGAAGCGTGTGACCATTCTTGCAACCTACTGGTACCGCGTCAACCACCCGGAGCCCGCCTTGACGATGCCCGGTGGGTCTCTACAGGGTATGACTTCGTAGCCCACTTGTGACGGCTCGGCCTAGTTTAGAATGGGCCGTTGGTACTGCACTCAGGGTTTGGATTGGTACTGCACTTAGGACGCTTGGACAGAGTCCTAGATCCGGATTGCTAATCCTCATAACCCGCATTTGCCAATGCTGCCAAGACTTGTGCGCTGTACGCTATGTTACCACGATTACGGACGGCTGTAGGCTTTTTGACATAGGAGTCACCGTTGCTGTAGTCTCATCGCAGAATGGGCTGGTGTTGCTGGCTGCAGGTTCCCAGCATTGTGAGGATGAGCTTGCGGAGCTGACGATGCGGTTCGAAAGTCAGGCTGACGAGCTACAGCGGGTCCGCAAAAAGTGCCTGCCCGTTTGAGCGCTGGAGATTAGGCGCTTGGACTGCGCACACGGATGTACATGAACTCGTCCTGCGTTCTCTATATAAACGCATGTACATTGCTTTGTAATTATAGCGTGCAAATAATAGAGATATAACCCATCTTGGTATGTAGAATGGCAGCGGATTGGTTTTGTGCCGAACGGGCGAGTGTATGCGATTAACATTTATGTTGCCATATATTAGCACTCATTCTCCGAGTTTTCAGCTACGATGCTGTGTAAGAAGTGCAAAGTGTAAATCTATGCCGATGGCTTTCTTCATCTTTCGGTTTATCAATCGAGAGATTACCATCAGAAAACATACAGACACCTTGGTTTGGTGATAGCAGGAAGATAACGGCCCCGCCACAACCCGTAACACCCCGCTCGGGGCTTTCATTCCAACAATGTCGATGACTTGTTATGTGAAACTGCGTCGTGTCAAGCCACTCGGCAAATGTGGCAGTACCCATCCGAACGGGGACAAACTCGGATGGCCCGTGTGGCGGTACCATACACATGCCGCACGCTCCTATGCCAAGTCCTGCCCACAGCACCCTGCACTTCCGCTAGTTCACACGTCGGCGCATATGCCCTGTCAACGGTCAGTACGAGTTCGTCCAAAACCTGTTGCACACTCTCCTCGAGACCTGGCCAACTACCAGCATCCCACACTCCACCAAGACGTGTTCGATAACTGCGGTTAGTTATTCCTCCCCCACCCCGCCATATGGAGCCGCTTGCTTGACCAGAAGCAGGCACTGACGGGGGTTCATGCCATGCACGGGAACGACTACGGTATGCCGACACTGCACCGACGCTCCGAAGTATCACTCCGTGCCGAAGACCTACAGCAGCACGCCACTCACTCAATACCTCAAACGGCTCAGCCCCCCTACAGCTATACCTGTTTTTTTGTCGTCGTACTCCTGCCCAACGAGAGGCAACCACGCTCGACGCAGGAACCTGGCTGCGTGCCAAGGCCGTCTGAAACATGCCCATTCCAATGTGTAAAGTTACCTAACCTAAACGCTGCCCTCTGCAGGGAAGCAGCTGGCATTAGCGAGAAATCGCAAACGCTGCCACACCGCCCATGGCATGCAGCACGTGATCAGCAGCAGTGAATGAGCCCGCCGCCAACAGCCATGCTACAGCGCTGAATTGGGTTCACGTACAGGCACATAGAGACGCTGGGCGCTTGGCACAGTCGCAAGTGCCGGAACAATCGACGCTGCCGAATGGCCGCCTCCGTGCAGACATGCTCCTGCACAGCTCCTCCTTCCACTGCTTGGCGAAGGCTATAATACGCTGCACCACTCAAGATCCAGCCGCGCCACAAGCCCCCAAGAGTCGTACCACGCATGCCGGAAACGCACTCTCCATCAGCGCCGTCCTTTCTGTTTTGTCTCGGCCGGCTTCAGGATCTGCATGACAAAGAATTTCGCGCGACCACCGAATTAACACCAACGACACGACCACATCCCAGCCCCTCCTTACATCAGAACTTCACGTACCTGGAAAGAGCACATAAGCGTTTCGTCGACACTCATCATAGCACCGGCATTCTCGAACTCGCCACAATAGTTGGGCGCTGAGAAGATGGTCACGAGCTGCCGTTTTGCGAAGAATTCATAACCCTCTTCAACAACCTGCAATCGCAAGCACACACCCACGAGGACTGTCATTGGTTGCATCCTTTTTACCAGCGCTTGGGGAGAACCCAGCCGACAAACCCCCCCTGCTCACCTGGTGCGCACGACAGACGAGGTCCAGGTCATGCTTTTGCAGGAATTCTGTGACACAATCCGGCCCGAACGTGTAGGACACGCCACGGTCGTTCTCGCCCCAGCCCTGAATATCCTTGTCCGGGTCGGCCCAGAGCAGGTCGCACAGCAAGCCCGAGTCCGGAACGTCCGTTGGCCGCGTGATTCGCTTAATCTGCTCCAACGACTTGAGCTCAGGGGATAGGCCACCGTGCATGCACAGAATCTGCGCAGTGTGGGCGCGGGGGCACACTTCGCGTCCCAAGCCGGCATCATAACAACCCCGAGAGACTCCATTGACCCACCTTCTCATCTATAAGGGCAGCAACAGGTAGGCAATTGAAGCAGTCCGTGAACGTGCGCCAGAGGCGGATGTTGTATCTCCGCTTGCATTCATCATAGAAACCGTAGATACGGTTAATAGACGCGCACTCGTGGTTCCCCCGCAACAAGAAGAAGTTTTCCGGGTACTTAATCTGCGAAATAAAATGACGGCATATTTATAAAAATGCGTCCTCAAGCTGGAGCAGGGAAAGGAACAGGCGGCATGTCTGCCCTCATGTCAGCGCCATGCCGACCGGGTGCTGAGACTCCAAAAAATCAGACACAAGGCACTCCCGGTGCACGTTTTCTGAACAGCAACGCAGGGAGGCCAGTCCTACCTTGAACGAGAGCAGCAAGCAGATGGTCTCCAGGCTCTGCTTGCCGCGGTCCACATAGTCCCCGAGGAACAGATAATTCGCCTCAGGGGGAAAGCCACCATACTCAAACAGTCGCAAAAGGTCTGAATACTGGCCATGAATATCACCTGCGGCCAGGAGAGCCGGTGAGCTTCTGATGGCACGAAGAGCCGTTTGGGACAAGCCCTCTCACGACAGGCTGGCGGCTTCTTAGCATTGTCACACATGACGTTACTAGACGCACCGCAAATCTTAATAGGCGCCTCCAGTTCCAGCAGGTTGGGCTGGCTCATAAAGATCTCCTTGGCCGTCAGGCAAAGCAGACGAATCTCGTTTTCAGCCAGCTGCACTTGCTTGCCTGGCCTGCCATTCCGCACATCCAACAGCCGCTCGATAATTTCATCAACTTGGGCAATGTCCATTGCTGCTCCTTGCAGGACAAATACACTCAATAGCTTCCTAAGTCTGACCCGACCGGGGAGGCTTCCGAGCTGGGGCCACCACGGGCCGGGGTAAAACTACTGTGCGGTTGTCTCCATAAGCCGAGAGACACAGGCAGGAAGTGCAGCCGTTTAAGGGCCGAAGCCCGCTTTCAGGCGGCGACAAATGATTGGTCCCAGGACTAATTAGTTTGATATCGAGACAGAGCAACTCTGAAAACCTATGCAGTGAACAGCAGAGTAACTAAGATTACACAAAAGTCCAAAAAGTTTCCTTCGAAGACTCCAGGAGGGGGGCAGCGCCAAGCACTCCTCCAGTGTTTTCGCAAAATCGTTTATTCGAGTAAATAATTCGTTTCCGCTTAAAGCGGGTGGTTGTTCATGTTTGCTTCGCTGAGCGCCGGCCTTGTATCGGACAATTATACGGAAATGCTTGTAACCAGTTTGGCTTAAGTGCTTTAGTTTTTATTTGTTATATGTCGTGTCTAATCCTGGCTTTGCTGCAAGAGCTCTGAGGTCTAGTCCTGCCTGGGCGGAACTGGCGGTGTTGTTCCGCGGTGATGGCGAATTGAAGGCCTTCTTCCAGAAAACACAAGCATAGAACACATTAGCAACTGGCTCGACAGTGCGATAAATGATTTAGAGTTTGCAATAGGTAACGAGAGCTAGCGGCGTCACGAGCTGACATAGATGCTGCCGTCCCCATATCGACATTCATTCCCGGATGCGCCGACGGCATCCAGCTGCTTTACTGTCAGGATACATGTCTCCAGGATCTGGACCTTGCACACTTAGCTGGGCCACTGGTTGTTCAGCAGTTGAAATCGGGGCGTCCGTAGGTTTCGTTCGCGAGCTGGCGTATTAATTCCCTATCATCGTGCAAAGGCCTACTTTTTTATGAATGGCACGGAAGAGCAAGTTATCAAAGAGCAGCTGAGGACGGGTCCTGTGACCGCGCTTGGCAGTTGGAGAGTCGCCAATTCGACTAGGGGTATCCGCCAGCCTCCTCACACCATCAACCTGCTCATTTCCTGCTACGGGACAGTCCTTCCTTAACGCACAGGCTGCTCTCCTCTGCAACCATGCTGTGGTAGCGCTTCCGACTCTATTATCGCTGGCAGCCCAGGGTCTCACGAAGTGCAAACTTGTTTTTGGCTCAATCCCCTTCTTCCCTCCTGTGTGGATCGTCATTCTCCTGGTTCCCTAGCAGACGATGGACTGCAATGTTCTTGGCAGATATGGTCACCACCAAATCAACTGTGTTGCCCACCTACCCTGCTGTGCTTAGGGGTAGACAGCTGGACAAAAAGAGGTGCGCTCAGCTTGGGGTGTGTATTACGTACCATTACCGCCGCGCAAACAACATCGCTGGTGCCGCAAAGCATATGGGACCTGTATGCGCCTTTACGCAACACATCCACCCCCTAAGTACACCAGCACACAGCATTAAGCGAAAGGGAGACGATGGCCCCCTCCTGACCCTTCTCTGCCTGCTTGGCCTGTTTCGCCGCTCGCGATAACCATTTCAACCCGACTGCACACAGTCGCACTCGAGTCACAACCCGCTGCTCACTCCACCAATGCTGTCCTCCGAAACCAACAAGCACATACGTTAGCACATGGCACCCCGCTCCATGCTCTATGCTCCAATCAACACACCCGGGTCCAATATTGGAACCCAATGCCCTGCACCGTAAAGCTATCATGGCGTCAGGGGGTTCCGGCTACACTAGTGAACGCTGTAAGCGCTAACAGTCAGTAGACATCATAGGTAATATGCGTGTTGCGACGTCCCTGGTAGAGGATATCCCGAGGACTGCAACACCGCCAGCTTAATCCGTCCATCTCCCAAGTGCATTCTGCACATGCAGCTCGTACCGTACCAAAATACACGCTGCGTGTCTACACAGAGCATCCTCCTAAGACGCGGCGCTATGGCGCAGCAGCCGCATTATTAGGAGGGCGACAACGACTGCATAGGAGGGAGTGATCCGCAATATAAAGACCCCCGCCGTGCACCATCCTAAGTCGGGAAAGTGTATCGAGTTTTTCGCCTGATAGGTAGAAAATGACGTCGACGGCTCAGCAATTTGACAAGTCCGCGTCGCGGAGGTTGCTGAACCTGTGTCCCCCGGGCGCTAATCCATCCAAACCTTTCCCGCAATCTACTGCTGCAACCGCTGCTGTCAGGCCCCGGTCCTAGACACCTGGGCAGCCGAAACACGCGCGTCACAGGGCAAGCCACAGAGCAACCTCTCCAGTGAAACACACAGAAAACTCCTACGAACTTTACCAACCATAACTCATGCCATAACCCCTTCCGCCAAAGCGCACCACCAGAGTTCTCACATTTGTGCGGAGACTGCCCCCCGAGGTTTTGACGAGTCCGGAGCCACAGCCAATGCGCCCGTCGTCCACCGCAACCAGCAGCTGCAAATGAACTACGACATCTTTGTGCAGTTAAACACGTATTGCAAGACCTTCCGGAATTCTTGGCCCCCATGCCAACCTTGACCCAGCAACAGGCCCACATTCGCGACCACCATGGGACTCCTGGCCTTAATCCTTCATCGGCCCTACCTCCTCCTGGGGTCTGCTCGCGTCTGCGTCCTTGCCATAATCCCGCTTGCTTTTCTTGCCAACCACATTTCCGGACCTTCCGTGGATGATCCGTCTGTTTGACATCGGATCCTCACCAATCTATATTATTACGCCGCACCTTACCCTGCGACCCGCCTGTCCAAATCTACTGTGAAGCCAACATGAGCGCCCACTCCGGGATTGAGCACATCCAGTTCACCGTAGGGAAAGGGCTTAATCCATCTTCTTTCCAGGAAACACACACGACACACGACACGACACGTCGGCGTAAAGCCATAGACGCAAGCACGCATACACATCTACTAAGTGGCAACTAAACGCAAGCGAAAGAAAGGCAGGCAGTGATGCGGACTCCGCTCATTCCAGCGGTCACGTCGGCTCATCCAGCACCTCTATTCACGACACGCCACCTCCTGTCGCAGTTGGCTCGTGGCGTTGCACGTCCTCCATGTTCCATTTAACCTCCTTTCGAACAACCCTTACTTCCGGGAATGCAACGCCTCTCCAGGGCTCTCTCCGCTCCCCAGACAACGGACGGATGCCCCCCCTTCCCCGCCATGACACGGCTCCTGCAGAGCGACAGCGGCCCCCTTTGCAGGGGCGCAGAAAGGTAAAAAGAACAACAACCCGGGCGCGAGCCGCCGCAGATAGCCACTAAGCCTGCCTTTTCCTCCGCCACCCTCCGTTGCCGCCTGCCGTGGACGCCTCACGCATGGCCGTTCCCCTGCGCCATCGGGACCCCGGAGCGCTGGTTGGCCATTTCATCGTCGATGGCCGCATCCAAGTCCTCGTCGTTGTCATCCTCACCCGTCCCTGTGTTGAAAGCGAACCTGAAGGTAAAAGATGAATTGACAGACGGACATTACAGATGAACGGGCGGAACGTTCAGGGGCAAGCAAATGTAGCTAGGCAGGCAGGTAGGCAGGCAGGTAGGCAGGCAGGTAGGCAGGCAGGTAGGCAGGCTGACAAGGCCACGCGGTCCGTTAAGGGAGCAAGATGAGGCGCAACAATTGACAGGTGCGACATGCATTCGCTTTCCAGGACTCTTATCACACATGTCAACACACACATGGGACACACATGGACATACATATACACACACACACACGCCGAGTGGGTATCGCGCAAAAGACCAGCGGGTGTCTGCCGCCAGGGCAGTGAAGTGCAGATATCGTCACACTGCTGGACGGCAAGCACTGGCGACAGAGCACAACTTCGCGAACAGTAACATCAAAAGATTTAGTCTCCAAACCCGGCGGCCCAGTTCCAAACATCGCGCTCACACACACTACACAAATATATACACGTACATCAGACACAGAGACACACTAGCACCAGCGCTATCTGGCCCCCACTGACACACTCACTCACTCATTCTCTCTCTCTCTCTCTCTCTCTCTCTCTCTCTCACACACACACACACACACACACACACACACACACACACAACACACAACACACACACACAGGCGCGCACACACACACAGGCACACACATCGCATTATATGACATTGTGAGTTGAGCGTACGCACACACACGCACACCTGGATGTGGGTGCAGGGATGACGGCTGACGCCAGCACCCGCTTGATGTCCTCCTCGCTCTGCACCCCCGTGTAGTCCGTGTGGGCCAGGAAGTTGTTGTTCATGGCCAGGGCGTCCGGAGGCAGGTTGGTCAGGAACCAGGCGTGCGACTGCGCGGGGCGGGTGCCGTGCGGGGAAAGGGACACGAGGGGTCATCGGTGCGGATCGCCGAGGTGAAGCGCGAGGTGTGTGCGGTGTGTGAGGCGGCGAGTCTGGAGAGACCAGGGGGACCAGGATTCCAAAGCGCGTGCTGGTTGAATTTTAGGGACAGAACGTAGCTGGCTGGCTGGCTGGCTGGCTGGCTGGCTCACAGCTTAGCCATAATACGTCTCCCTAGGAGTTCCCACGGCAGCGATGCGAGGTGAGGAGCGGATACAAGGACTGTTACTGCGCACATTGCTAAACCTGTCCACCAATTCTCCCCCGCCCATGCAGCCCTAGCTGCCCAGTCCACCGCTCCGTCCATCACCGCATCGGATACTTGGCGCCTTGCACGTATTGATTTACCCCCTCCCCCCCCCTCCCCCTCCCCCTCCCCCTCCCCCTCCCCCTCTCTCTGGGTGCACCTGTATCTGGCTCATGGTGAGGCGGTGGCGGGGGTCCCCCACCAGCAGCTTGCACAGCAGGTCACGGCACTCCGGGGATACCTCCACATCCGCGGGGATGCTCCACTCCATACGCAGAATGCGCTGCATCATGCTGTCCATGCGGGCCTTACCCTGGCGGCGATTTCGAATGGGTTTCGTTAATGTGTCTGGAGTTTTTTAATTTTTGGGTGGAGTGGGGCTCGGGCGCCCCAGAGGAAGGGAGGAAACCATTGCAGAATGCGAGAGGGTTCGGGAGGAGAGCAAGTGCGCATGACATCGGATGGGCCCCGGTCGAATGCGAGTGGTGATGTGGCCCCCCGCTCCTGAGGGCCCTGAGGGGCTGTCTGTCCACCAACAGGAACGCAACTCGGCAGCACGTCACATACCCAGAGACTCTCCCTCCTCCTTCCTCCCTCTTTCTGTCCATCCCCCGCAACCCTGCCACCGTTTCGAGTCATCCCCCCTGCTGAGTGCACCCGCCATCACGGCCAACCTTCGCCCCGCACCGGCGGACTCCCCGCACCGGATGTTACCGCGGAAGGCCCCCTCTCGACCAGGCGTAGGGGTAGGCGGGCGAGAGTGGCGCGAGAGGATTCCAACACCCTCGGACGCCCGCCCGCAACATACCCCCGCCTGCCAGCCAACCCAGCCCACCGCCCTCGGTGCTTACACTGCGCAAGACCCCAAGATCCCGCCCTCGTCTTCGCCGTGCTTGCCAGGCTCCCCGACCCAGATCCATTCCCATTCCAGTCCACACGATGCGCTCCGTATGCTGAAACCCTCCACGCCCCTCTCCAGGGTCCATCCACCTGCTATTCACCCCCTTTTCCCCCTTTTCCCCCTCCTCCTCCTCCTCCTCCTGCCCCTCCTCCGTCAACACTACCTTCCCTCCACATCCTCTTCGTCCCCTCCAAGCTCCCTCCCTTCCTGTCCCTCTCCCTCCCCTCCTCGTCCTTGTCCCCCCCCCGCCGCTCACTCACTGCCACCCACCTGCTGGTGCCTGCTCTGTGGGCTCTCAAAAGGGTACGCCCCGAACAGCATGACATACAGCATGACACCGCAGCTCCAGATGTCAGCTGCCTGGCCCGCATACTGGTCAGTGGCGCGGATGACCTCCGGCGCCATGTAGGCTAGCTGGAGGTGAGACGGGAGCGCGGGGAAGAAGGGCCGAAGGCGGGGAAGTCACCAAGGGCCCGGGACGATGCCTCTTCAACCCGAAAGAACAGTTGAAGGAGGGAAACACGACAGGACAGGACAGGAAGGATCCTCAGAAGCCATCCCTCCCTCGACACGATGCTCAGGGTCCTGCTCGCCTGGTTCTCGCCTGAGAACCAGTTTAAATCCCTAGTGCATGCTTCACCAGTATTGCTTCTGTTGTAGATAAAAACTCGTTAGTAAAAAAAACGATTGTACAGGACAGGGAGTGCCGATGACGGAGCAGAGGAGCTGGAAGAGGCATGGTCCGCAATGCGCACCCCGGGGGAGAAGTCTGGCACTCCACACATAGGCCCCCGCGTTCGCCCTCTTAACCCAGGCTTTGACGGGCCTCACGTCAAGCCATCTCCAATCCGGGCCCAGACACTATCTCGTTCTGGAACACGTCACGTCACAGCACCCAAACAAAGCTCAAGCAAACGTCTCGAAGGGGTTGAGCGCCTCCTTGTTGGAACGGAGCCCACCCTGCGGCGGCGGCGTATCACTGCTGGCAGCATCGGCACCCCTATCGCAACCGCTGTGCGTTCCGGGATGTCTGTTTCGCTTCTTGCCGCCTAACCTAACTCATGTCAGGGATCCGAATATAATACCCACCGTGCCGACTTTGGACTTTGGCGCCGACATGAAATGCGCCTTGCTGTAGCCGAAGTCGCAAATTTTGAGCAGCGGCAACGGCAGCCCGGGTACCATAGTCAGCAGCGTGTTCTCCAGCTTTATGTCCCGGTTGACCACACCTCGTCGGTGGCAATAGTCCAGACCGATGCAGAGCTGCAGCCAGGAGGGCGGTGGTGGGGAGCTGGGGGTTTGGGGGGTGCTGTGGCAGGTTGGGGAGGGGGGGAGAGTTGGAGGGCGAGGAGGTGAGGGCCTGGGGCCATGCGCCCCGATCAGCGTATTGACAAACGCTGCAGCTGCGTTTCCCCTTGCGTATCGGTTGTGAGCTCCCTCCGGACGTTTTGCTGCAAGCAAACCCAATTCAGTGTCGCGAGTGTCGCTCTCGCCAAATACGCCTTTTCCTTCCCAGTCACACACAGAACCTCCGCCGTGAGCTACTTCTTCAGAGGGTCGCATATTGTTCCGTATCCAACAGGTGCTGCGAGAAGGTGACGGCCCCTCCGAGTTCAGTAGGTTTAAAGCGTCCATACCGCAAGGCAAAGGCTGCCCCGAGTTGCCAACCCACCCACGTCTCCGCATCAGGGGTCTAACCAATATGCTGCTGTCTTATATTCCCCTCCACCCATAACGGGCGACCGAATGCTTTCTCGGTTCTGACGCACCTGTTGAAAGAACCAGCGAGCAGCCGGCTCCTTGAGCCGGACCGCGCGTTGCACATAACCAAACAAGTTGCCCCCGGAAGCATACTCCATACATATGCAAATGTACTCGGGTGTCAGGAACACTTCCTTGAACTACAACGGCAAGGGGCCGCAAGGGCAAAGTCGGTTTTGTAGCGAGCAAGTGGTTCCCCTTGGCAGGTACCAATATGTCTTGGCAGTTACCAATATGTATATGATAGTACACCCTAATCGACTGCCAAACGCACAAACTCGGCACAGCTCACAACTCACCTCAATAACGTGCGGATGCCGGAGCATCCGGTGGTTCAAGACCTCCGTCTCCACATACTTGTTAACGCGTTCTCCACGCTCCAAGAATTTGATGGCCTACCAGGCAACGAGGTAAATGAATCCACAGCCCGACCGAGCTGCACCCTCCGGCACTTACCACAAGCTCTCCCGTCACCAGATCCTTGCATAAATGGACAAAGCCAAAGGACCCGCTACTAAGGGGCTGAACTTTCGCATAACGGGGGTGATCTTTAAGCGGGTCTGGGTTCTGTCCAGCGTTCATTTTCTGAAGCTTTCTCTCTGCTGGAACTCCTCGAGGCTTCGCCGATTTACCAGATTTTGGTCAAATGAGTCAATGCCGAATGCAATTTATCTGACAAAACGAGGTTCTCGAGGAAGCTAAACTACCTAACGCCTGCCCCGCTCGAGGCAGGAACCATAAATGCGCTGTAGAGATGCCCGCCACTGCGTACACAGTAATGACGTGGCTTGCGGCGTGCGTCCTTTCGTTCGCGCGGCTCCTTCGTCTATGACGAGATTGCACTGACAAGTGCAGTAATTGAAAACGAGCTGATCCCAGTTTAAAAAATTACAAGAGTCCTAAATAAACAATTGGACAAGGGCGCACGTTTCCTAATCAAAGGTGTCGTCGCTCATCGCCGAACGGCTATACGGACGTGCCCGTGGGACGAGACACGTTCGCCTCCTCCTTTGGTACTTCCCCATTGGATACCGCTCAAATACAACTCTACTGTTACTTCAGTTCACATCCATTGCGCGCATAGCTCCCAAACCGAACTTTTTGCTGCGCAACCTCCCCCCGGTCCCTTCCCTGTGGAGCGCAGCCTACCACCTCGGCCGCGCCTACTCTCCGTGAGCAGCTGGCCGTCCTTTTCGGCAGGCGAGGCCGCCCGCCTCAGACCAGCTGCTAGTCGTCCTGCACAGAAATCCTGATAACAGGTCGCCGGTCTAAGGTGCCTAATTTCGGCTCTCACCGCCTGCTGCGCCTGCGAAGGCTGCTAACTTCAGATAGCACACTAAACACCTGCAAAAGTTCGCCAGGGTGACCCCTCTTCCCTGGCCCCGCTCCTCCGGCTACAACGGCAGCCCGGGCAACAAGGACGCACACGCACTACACTCTACCACGTCTGATCAACCCCATCAACGAGGGGCTAGGGGCGCCCCGCACTGCCGGCGGAGTACCGGAGCTCGACCATCTGTAGATGTCATCCACACCCTATGCCCAGGCCCTACCCGCTGCCATAACCCATCCTTTATCACCCTAGCACAGCGCGCGCCACTCTGGCATGCGCAGCCCAGCTGGCGAGCCGCCCAGCGCCAATCACACCAGAATGTATGTACGGCTATGATGCAGCGCCCTTCGCTACCTGCGTGCTGATGCCCTCCACGTGTGCTGTTGCCTCGACCACCCTTGCAAAGCAGGGAACGCGCAACCAAATAGTACGCAAGCAATCAGCAAGGGTCCACAAGTTGCCTGACCGCTCTAACCAGAACCGCGCGACGCGTCTAGCGCCAACAGGAGCTACGGAACAAAGGCGCTGCTGGCGCCTCACATTCCTTCCGCTTCCCTCAACTCCATTCCTGGGCATACGCCCCAATGAGTCCAGTTGCCTGATAGCAAGCCAGTTGCCTGGCCCCCTTTTGGGTAAAAATAAAAGCCCAAGTTAAGCAGCTTGTCAAATTCTACCTCAGCATGCCAAATCTCATGGTTCCTTCCGCCCACCATCGCGGCACGCGCCCGAGTGCACGAGTCCCAGATCGCTTGTCCCTTGGTCTAACTCCAATCCTAACCTCAGCCACAGGCGCAAACTCACGCACGGTAGCTTCATCACCCGATGGCGAATGTCGAAGCAAAATGCCTTTCCCTGGGCCCTTCAGGAGGAGCTGCATTCGGCACTGCCGCATGCCCGATGGGCACATAGCCTAGCCAGTGCAGTAGCCAGCGCCACACGAAGCGATCCCAGCAGCCTAGCCCCTTCTCAAGCAGCAAGCTCGAGACCCGTGTCGGGACAGGGAAGCTGGGCACGCTGTCTTAAGAATGCCCAGCGGTTGTAACAGCTATCGGCTACACTCGCCACCCGCAAGCCAAATAGTTGGACTACTAAATTAAGACTACACCCAGCCATCTGGCCATCTGGCCAGAGCCCAACTTTTGTCTCCACGTAGCTCCACGTAGTTTCCGTCCCAGATCATCTTCGCCGCATGCCTCCTGGCATACCCGGAGGCGGGCCGCCGCCAGGCCTGCCCATGCCCATGCCGCTGCGTCCCGGCCCAGAGTACGGCCCATTATCATACGGTGGGCCCATGTCCTGAGAGTGCACATGCAGGAAGCGGCAGCTCTCGCCGTTGCGGCAGCCGCCCGGAGTGTTGAAGTACATGCAAAGTGTCCTAGAGGGCCCGTGCGGCCCCGGTGGTGGAGGCCCAGCCATGCCTTGCCCCGGCGGCGGTCCGCTACCCGGCCCACCCGGCCCCGGTGGCGGCGCCCACCCTCCTGGGCCCGGGCCCCCCCCGGCACCCAGGGGACCCATGCCGTGTGACGCAGGGCCGCCGCTCCCTGGCATATGGTGGGGCGGCATCGCATGGCGAGGCCCACGCCCCGGGCCCATGAGGTGCGCGTGTGGTTGCGCCATCGGCCCAGGCCCAGGCCCCGGTCCAGGCGGCTCGTCCACGCGCCGCGGCCTCATCACTGTAGGCTGCCCGTCCTTCCGCGGCGGCATCGGTGGGCCCCCAGGGCCCTGCCCCGGGCCTGGACCCAGCCCTGGCTCAAACCGACCCCCAGGCCGTCCCGGCCCTGGTCCAGGACCGGGACCGATGCCCGCGTGTGGTGGTGGTGGCTGCATGCCAAACTCCATAGGCCGCAGCGGAGCTCCGCCAGGAGCCCCCACCATCGGTCCGCTTGCCGGCGGCTGGCCGGGTTGTGGCCCCTGCGGCTGCGGCGGTCCAGATCCGCCGTGGGACCCGCGCGCGTGCGGGTGCGGTAGCCCATGCGGGTGCTGGTGCTGGTGCGGCGGCAGCAGCAAGCCCTGCGGCTGCGGCCCCGGCTGGCCCTGCGGCCCCGGTCCTGCCGGACCCTGGCCAGGCCCAGGTCCCCCTTGTTGCGGCTGTTGCGGCGCCGGACCTCCATGGGGTAGGCCAGGAGGCTGCTGGGCCAGCGTACTGATGAGCGCTGGAAGGGATGCCACGAGATCCGGCGGCAGGGTCAGCTGTGCCGGCGGCCCTTGCTGCAGGCCTGGCTGGGCTCCCTGGGCCAGCGGTGGCTGCTGCTGCTGCTGCTGGGGCGGCGGCGGCGGCGGAGGGCCCCCCGGGATCAACGGAGCAGGCAACTGCCCTGGCGGCAGCTGACCACCGTACGGCAGAGGCAACGCCACGCCAGGGTGCGGCGGCTGCCCTGGTGGACCCCCGCCGTACATCCCGGGAGGCTGCAGGTGCGGCAGCGGCGGCTGTGCTCCCGGCCCTGGCCCCCCACCTCTTGGCATCTGCGGGCCGCTAGGCACGTTTAGCGGTATGTGGCGCACACGGTATAGATCTGGCTCGGGCTCCGGCGGCGGTTCCGCCGGGGAGGGCGGGATCTGCGAGGGCGAGTAGTACACCACCCGTGGAGTGTGCTGGCGCAGCCGGACTTGCACTTCCCGTTCAGTGCTGTCCTCCCCCAGCGCCGGCAGCTGTTGCGGCAAGACGGCACCGAGGTACAGCTCTGGCGGCTCGACCCATGGGACAGTAGGCCGCATGGCGGCCCAGCGCTCCTGCGGGGGAAGGCGGAGGAAACACACACGCGCGCGCAAGACGAGGTCGAGTGCATCACGAACAGAAAGAGGGATGACAGGACTTTCGCGCCAGGAGACCGTAAGCTTGACCTCCTACGACTCCCGCACGACTTCTCGGGCTCTAACATACTACCAGCTAACTTTGAGCGCTATACCGTAGAAGCATGAGCGGCATGACAACCTCCTGGAATGCCCGAAGCTTGCCGCGTAGGAAATGCGCGGCGCCGCACCAGGTTAGACAGGAAGCCTTCGACGTAAAGAAAGTGATCAGATGACGTCTGCCGCTTTGGTTCGCAGCATTTTGGTTTGAATGGTCGAGCATCATCAGACGGTCTTAGTCGGTTGTCTTCGTTCGCTGTTCGAGATTTCTGTTCGGTATGTCAAACACACAGCCAAGCATTAATGAACATGTCGTCCCAGCTTCTGCGCCGCAGGCAACCCCCACCCATCCAAACGCAAGTCCCCCTACACGGATCGGCTCGCGCTCCGTCCATGCGTCTGAGAGCCGCTCGCGTGGGGGGACTTTCTCGCACACTTCCCTCGCACCGAAGCCAACACCGTAACACCAAACCCGTCTTGCACGCTTCCCTCGTTCCATACCCCGTCTCACCAGCTCCTGCTGCCGCTCCTGCTCCTCCTGCTGGTGCTGGGCAATGAGGGCCATCCGCTCTGACGCGTGTTCCCGCCGAGCGGCCGACTGAAAGCCTGGAGGCGGAGGCAAGCCGCCAGGGCCGCCGCTGCTGCCAGGGCCGCCAAAGCTACCGGCGGCCCCCTCGCCCGCCGTTGCAGCAGCTTCATCCTCCGCCGTAAGGACGGCATCGCTTTTTGCGGCTTGCGGGGGATCGTCCTTCTTAAAAAGCCTGCAGGACCACACCGTCGTAAGGGCTAAGCACGCATTACGACGTCATGCTGATCGGAAATGGGGAGGCCCAGTGATGGGCCTGACGGCGCTGCCACAAACTGCGGCGCCGTGCCAACAAAACCCCCTGTCTGCAAAGCCTGCATAGTCACCGTGACACCGCCTTGTGGCCAGGTACGACGCCGCTGTCGCGCCCACCCTTTAATCTGGTGGTAGCAATTACCCACTATGTCGAGGTGCCACCCATAGGATGTCGTGCGCTTACCTGTACGACGCAAGCCCGTCGTCACCAGCCCAACTGACTGTCTTCTTCTTCTCCCTACGCGGCGCTGGCTCCGGCGAGGGAGCTCGCGCCCTGGCTGCCATGGCCCTCGCGTGCGCGCTCTGCGGACCACCCGGGGCCACCGCTGCTGGCAGCGACGCTGCTGTGCCGGCGCGGCCACCGACGCCGCCGGCCCCGACCCCAGCAGCAGCACCAAGCCTTGCAATTCCCGATGTTGGCAGGCTGCCGTCACGGAGGCTGCCGAGTCGCACCGTGGGATTGCTGGGGCCCGCCAATGTGCCGAGACGTGGCAACGTCATCGCCTTCGGCACCGCACTGCCGGCGCCTGCCGCCGGACCTGCCGTAGCTGAGGGCCCCTCGCCGCCGGCCAAAGGCACCAGCGAAGGCGTACTGCTGCCGCCCGGAGCTGCCGCCCCGTCACCGCCAGGCTTAGGTGAGCCAGGTCCCGGAGCGCCATCGACGCCAGCGGCTTCCAACCCCGCCGCCGCACCGTCGCCACGCGGAGATGTCGGAGAATGCGGTGCGCCGCTGCCGTCCTCGGCAGCGGCTTCACTGGTGCCAGACATGCCCGCTGGCGCCGCCGCGCCTGCCGCTGTTGCCGTGCTCTGGGCAGCACCCATGGAACCCAACCGGCTAGGCACAACATTTTCCAGCTTCATGGCGTGGACCTGTAAAGCAGCGATGCAATGCTGAGTGTAAACGACAAGTGCGCGATAGGCAAGCGGGGACCCAACGTCAACCTTTGATAAAACAATTCCCTTCCTTGTCCACCCCATGCCCTTGAGCCATGGCAAGAAGTAATGACATTGCCTTGCAGCTGCACAGCATTTTTTTCGCGTCTACTTGCACCGCACCAAGCCCTTCCAGACTGCGTTTTGCCTCGCTGAACTCCCCGCACCTCCCTCGATCCGTCATGACTGCTTTTCCATTTCCCCTCGGCCGCCAGCACTCCCAGCTGCGCTTCTCTTCCAGCGCTAACGCCACACCAGCCGCGACCTACCTTCTTTGCTCCGGTGATGAAGCTGGTGAGTCCCAGCGACCTGTGCTGCCCTGGCGGGTGCGAGGAAGACCCACCCGACCCGCTGCCCCCTGCCGCGGCCGCCGACACGAACAAGTCGTCATCCATCACCGCCAGCTTGCTGCTGGAGGCAGCGGTACTGTTGCTGGTGGCAGCACCGTCACTACCGGGTCCAGAAGGTTGCTGCTTTCCTGATGACCCCGGCCCGGCTGCTGCTGCCGCTGTGGCTCCCGATTGATCGGCTTGCTTCCTAGGTCGCTTGTTGGGCCCTTCTTGTGCGAAGCCATCCGCCCTGCAGGGTAAAGCGAGGGGAAGCACGATGTGAAGACGCATTAGAATCTCCTGTTCATCCAAACACTTTCGGTGGTTTCCCAGGCCCATCCTTCTCCCTTTCTCCCAAAGGCAGGAGCCGCCATAATGTCCCTTTCTCCCCGAGGAATACCACTCCGTGGGCCCCATAACAGTTTCTGCACTCTGCACAGCCCCCAGCCCCGCCCACCCGGCGCTGATCCCCTGCACCCTCTGCGAACCCATCCCAAGCTGCCACGTCCCATCCCGTCCCCAGCCCCAGCCGCAGCCCGTCACGACTCAGGATCTCACTTGGACTTGCCGCCCTGCCGCGCCTCTCCCTTGCCCACGGAGCGATCTACGACACTCTTCCACTGGTCCACCAGCTCAGCGGCGGCCGCACGGACAGCCTGATTCGTGTGCTTGCGCAACTTTCCCACAGTCTGCATTGGAGGTCGACCATTACATAAAGTACAAAAGTCAAACAACTTATCTAGGGACAGGTTGGAGCAGTGGCACGAGGTGTGGTGATGGGTGACCAAGCACCGCCTAACCAACAGCCCTACCCTCACAGTCAGTCCTCCCTGTCCCACCTGGCCTATGCTGCTGCCTTTAAGCGCGATCAGGTCAATGGGCAGCATCTTGAGGCAGCTGATGACCTTTACAAGGGCGGGGTGACGGCCCTCGTCACGGAACTGGATCACCCAACGCTCCAGGGATCGTAGTCCCGTGCCCTGCGAGTGGACATGCAGGCCAGCAGAACGTTGGGAGTAAGTAATAGCGGGGGAGGAATGCAAGGGCAGTCCCTGTGGTCCGGGCAGCAAAGGGCCACTAAATGTAGCCACTGCAAGGACGTCTTCAAAAGGCAACGCGAGTCGAAAGAATCGGCGCCAGGTTAAGAAGAAGAGCAAGGCGAACGTAGGGAGGAGTGAGGCGTGAGGCCATCTGGTACCAACGCACCAACACGTTGAAGCCTTAAAGGCCCTTGGCACTTCCGTAACCCGGGAACGGCGCGGCTACAATCCGACTGCCACGGCCACATCACGAGTCCATCAACCATTACCAAGGACGACTGCCTCTGCTTCCGATTGCCCACAGACACTGTTCGGCCAGATGTGCGGTCCATCCGGGTCCGACGTTGACCCCGCACATGCACGGTGACGCAATGTACGTGTCCGGTCCTTCCTTACGTAATGAAGCCCCCGCGTAAGACCATTTACCTGTACAAAGAGCCGCAGGACATCCTGTGTGGATTGCTGCACCACGGTCAGCAGCGTCAGTCGTCCGCCCAATCGTTCCTCGCCCTCCACCAGCGCAGCCAGCCGCCCCGCATGACGCGTGTCCGACACGCCGCCGCATCGCGCCATAATCGGGCCAAGCTCCTTCGCCAACGTATCCATCACCGCAGTAGAACCCGCCTCAGGCGCAGATGCGGAAGGCCCGCCACAGCCACTTTTCGGCGCGGTTGTGCTTGGCTGTTGTGCGAGGGCAGCATAGCTGGAAGCGGCAGCGGACGTAGCGGTCGTATCGCCGCACGGGGCGGTGCCGCCGCTGCCGCCGCCAGCATCAGGCGGAGAGCGGGACGGCTCGGCGGCTGCTGCGTCGACAGCCACCGCTGCTGGTGTCCCCTCACTGCCAAAAACTTCCCTTTCATGGTGTTGGGCCCCATCGGCGACGTCCATATCTGCAGCGCCACTGCCACTACCGTGGACATTGTTCGGGGTACCGCTGCTGCCAGGTCCTCCTCTTGCTGTGTCGACACAGGGCCGTTCTTCCGAACCCTGGCAGTTGTGGCAGCTCCCGCTAGGCCGCAACCCCAGGTCGCCTGTACAGCCGCCAGGGCCTGTGCCACATGCCCCGTGCCCACCGTCACCTTCAAACTGCATCTCAGCAGCCAATCGCTTTCTGCGACCTGTGCAGTTCCCGCCCAGCACTATATCCGTAGTTTCTTGACTGGTTGGCAGTTGGGCAATTGAACCGCTGCCGCAATTGAGAAGCGCACAGACGCCGCTATTACAACTTGGGTCTGAGGCCGGCAGGACTGAGGCAGCAGGTAGCTGAGGCTCTCTGGCCATGAAGAGATCAGCTGGGTCGAGGGAGGATTGCGGTGTGGCCGCTAACAGGGCAGACCCGCTGACTAGGTATTCCTGATGTGGGTTCCAGCCGGTCGGCCAGTCTAGCGCGTGCTCTACTGCGCTGGTGTCGGGAGCTCGGGGCTGTAGCTGTGATGCCTCGTCCTTGTCCCCGTCAACCGGGTCTTGTGCGCAGGAGGCACCGTCCAGGTGAGCTAGGGGGGTGTGGAACACAGGGCCAGGCTGCAGGACTTGAGGTATAGACGCTGCAGCTCCAAGCAAGTCCATAGCCAGCCCCGTAGGCCCTGTAGTATGTCACCAAGCCAAGGAGTGAGATGTTTCTGACCTGGCGTGCCTTTATGTCTTTCAAGTGGAGCGCGCACAACGCGTGATTGTGAACGTGGGACGGTGGCCATGGCCACTCATCCAAAGAACGTAACTTAAAGCGAAGTCTGGCATAATACATTGAGCATGATTAGAGAGTTTGAGGGGTCTTCCCACGTGAGCGGCGAGGCCCTCATGAAGGCGCTTACACTTGTCCAAAGCGCTCACCCCGCGTACCCGCAGCACCGGCCTCCAAAAGAAGAGGTGTAGTCAGGCAAGCCGCATTGTTATTGACAAGGAGGGGCTCAACTTGCATTCCGCGCCGCCCGACAGGGCGGTAGCCCGCTAACCCGGTTTGCCCGGGCGCCTCCTGGCCCCCTTCCTATGGCCGTATCTGACGCATATAACTTAGCCAAAAGTTGTGAGCCTGGTTTCCACGGTACCAATATGGCTATGCGACTTTTACCCAAAGCTCTCGCTGCTGGAAGTCATATAGAGCCCCTCTTATTTCTGAGGCTAATAGGATACAGCAGTTTCTTGGAAGCAAATTCTTACTCCAACGGGCCTGCAAACGGACATCAGCCAGCGATCGCTCTCTGAAAAACTGTGCTGGCTCTTTCGATCCGCTAGTACGATTAATGATTAACTCCTCGTTTCGTTATGGGACCAGTTGTGGCCTTCAGGAAGGCCGCCATCCCACAGCGGCGCCATAATCATGTACGGCAGACCAATTTACAGTTGGGCTTGCGTTGGTCCAACACTGCAGCATCGTTGGTGTTACAGTGCTTTCTCGATTAATTAGCTGCTAGCTTGTGTGGAGCCGGTAAACAAGTGCAGGGCTCAGCCTTGGTTTCTCTGGCTTTCTGGTCACAGTAATATCACGTCTTGTAATGCTTCAATTTAGGAAGGCTACCAGCAAGAAGTGCTAGGGGAAAAGCACATAGACTTCATATAAAACTCCTGTTTTGGCAGAGTACTTTACTGGCGGGCGCCGACACACACACTACGTCACGCCGCCCGTTCCCTCGCCTAACCGCAATCCCGGAGCAAACCACGGAGCCGCCTGCTGTCGATGTTCATGCAGCATTAGAAGCCTGTGGCCCCTGTGCACCCCCAGTGGTAGGGGGGTTGCTGCGACCCGTCTACACGACAAGGCTGCAATGCGCCTCTCCCTCGCCTCTCCCGCCACGTCGCTTTCTTACCCGTAAACTGCAGCAAAAATCCTTGTGCCCATGTCGAAGCTAGGAACTGTCTTTCCACATACCATTCTGCTGATTCCGCCGTACCACTCTAATGTAACTCCGTCAGCGAGACCAACGCTAATCTCCGGAATGCTAGCTGGGTCGCCAGCGGCCCATGCCAATGTGCCGTTGAATAAGCTGGCGGCTAGGGTTTCACGCGCTGACTCTGCCACCGCCGTCGCCGTCGCTGGTCCTGGCGGAGGCAGCGGAGGTCGACACCCCCCAGCGCCGCGACCCCTCCGGCGATACACCACCACTCCACTCCGCCAGTCGCCACCCCTACAACGCCCCGCGGGTACCGCTTCAGAGCGGCCCACTGTGCCTAGTTCGGTTGCTGATACACACCATTGCCACCGCCACCAGCAGCAGCAGCCGCCGCCGCAGCAGCAGCAGCCGCCAGTTCGGCGGCACCGGCAGCCTCTGACGGCCGACCGCAACCAGCACTACCTCGAAAAGCAACAGGAGCGCCAGCAACAACGACTAGCTCGGCCGGGTGCTGTACGGAGGGATAGGGTTGATGGCAAACGGCTGTGCAGCGGATCGCCCGACGGGTGGCCTGATGATGACGGCGGCGGCGCCGCCGCTGCTGGCGGCAGCCACGGCTGCGACAGCACAAGTCCCGCTGCGGGGCAGACGTCCTTTCTTGTCCAAAGCATTCGCACCTGGGAGGGCGCGCTGCAGCTGCTGGATATAGCGGGCGGCCCGGAGGGTCGTCCGCCGCCGCAGCTTCAGCTTGAGTTATTGCTGCGGTCCCGCCGTTTCAATACCCGCGACCGCGGGGACAGCACCGTAGCACCGATGACCACGTCTTCGCATCACAACGGATTATCTTCGTCCGTTCCCACTTTCGCCGATGCTGGTGCTGATGCTTCAACGACGATGTCAGGGGCCGCAGACTCGCAAAATCGTACTTTGTTTGCCACCTGGGTTGAAGAGCCTAACAGCCGCAACTCCCACGACGCCGGTCGCGTGTGCTCCGGAACCATTCCCCCGATGCCGGTGAGCACACCTCGGTGTAGTCGCCGAGCGGCGGCAGGGATCCGCCCTCGGTCTTTACGGCCGACGACGGCGGCAGAGGACGCGAGTTGGCGGGCCGATTGGGAACTGGCGTGGGAGGTTGAGGTGCAAAGTCAATCCATCTGGCTGCGAGAACCTGCTCCTCAGCCGCCAACGCCGCCGCCGTCGCCGTTGGCGCCGCTGCAGCACGGAGTAGGCGCCGCGGCCGAAGAGCCCCTGCCGGCGCCGATGCGGACCTCCCCGGCGGTGATGCTGCCCGGCCACCATGCGGCGGCGACGATGGCGGTCAATACCTGGGGGCTGGCGGCGGCCGAGCTGAATCAGCACAGCCCTATCCCGCCTATGCGGACATTGAATCGGCAAGCTCCCCAGGCCTCTTTTCCGCCGCCGAACCAAACCCCGCATGGGGACGTGCGCAAACAGCGGAAAGGACCGCCACCGCGGCCGCCGCCGGTGCTACAGCAGCGGGAGCAAGCGCCTACGGCAGTGTCGGCGGCACCGGCGGCAGTGGGAAGTCGCCTTGACGACAACGGCAGCCATGCTGCGTTACTGGGTAGGGCTTCCTGGGCAGTCGATCGTACTGGCCACCGCGTCGAAGACACCCAGGCAGCGCTCGCGGCGGAGGTCCTGTTGCGAATCGTGTGTGATGCTGTTGTAGTACAGCCTGAAGCTTGGACGAGCGAGGAGGTGGCGGCGCTGCTACGACACGCCGCCAAGCTGGCGTATCGGTACCCCGGCCTGCTATCCGCGCAACCCGGCCGCCAGCGCCACGTGCAATACCAGTCGTCGACAGCGGCGGCGCCGCTGCCGTCATCTCCCTCCATCAAGCGCAACAGCGCCGTCAGCGTCCCTGCGGCGCAGTCAGTGGGCGGCCATCAGCATCGAGCGGCATTGGACGCGCTGACTGGCGGCATGGATGCAGGGGAACCGAGCTCAGGCGGCGGCGGCGGCGGTGCGGAGCTGCGTGTACGACTGCAGCAGCTACTACTGCGGGTTGATGGCATGCTAACGCCGCCGCGGCAGGAGCACCCTGCAGCCGCCGCGCCGCCGGTTGAGCGCCGATGGACCCGTCGGCCAGCGGCCCTCAGTGCGGCCGGCACAGCCGCCCCGGCTGGCGGCAGCGGCGGCGGCAGTACGAATGTCGTCACGGCCGTGGCCGCCGCTGGTGCTATGGCGGTGGCTACTTCGCCATCATCGCCGCTGCCCCCAGCCACGGTGGGTCATGTTGGAGCTGGAGCCGAGACGGCGGTGGTGGCGGCAGGTGCTGTGGGTGCGGCGTCGCAGTCCCTGAGCGCGTCGGCGGCGGTATGGGCCGTGTGGGCGGCGGCGGCACTTCAGTTGCGGATAAGTCCGGAGGGGAGCATCCGGCGGCGCCTTCTGGAAGAGTTCCGCCCGTGGCGGCGGCGACCGCCGCCTTTCCTTCCAAAGCCGTGGCGGCGATCCGCGCCTCATCACCCATTGAACCACCGGGAAGCCAAAGGAGAGCGCCAACAGCCTCCGTCGGCGCAGCGGTGGGCAGGAGACTGCGCGGGAGGTCCCCAACATGCGCTACAGCAGCAACAACAGCAGCAGCGGCCGTGGCAGTTGCGGCGGTTGAAGCTGCTGGACATGCAGAAGCCGACAGTTGGGAGGAGGGGGCCACGGCTGGATGCCGGTGATGTGGCAGATGTGTTGTGGGCATTCGCCATGCTGGGTTTACGGGTGGGTTAGGATGTAACGCGCGCGCGGCGTATTCCTGTGGGGACAAGATGAGCAGCTGTGTATGTGTGGGGGGGGAAGGACGAACCACAGACGAACAACTGGCGAATAATGCTGATGCCTCCTCCTCCCAGTGTGCGTGTGTGGGGTGTGTGTGGGAGGGCCAGCAGACCAGGTGCCTGGTACGTTAGTAGCACTATTTATTGCTGCAGCGGCGGTCTGTGTGCTTTTCGCGTTGGGACGGCACTGTGTGTCGCGAGGAGGTGGGAGAGAAGGCTTGCGACCGGCAACCGGGCGATAGGATGCTGGTGATGTGGTTTAAAGCCAAAGAGTCGAGAATACAAAACTTTGGCCTGCACATGGGCCACACCTGCCCTGCCCTGCGTGCGCGCTGCTGGTCCTCAGCCTGGGGCCCTCCTGCTGCAGTGCGACCCCCTCATGACCCTTGTGTTCTGTGATACCCGATCGCCCGGGGCCCTCCTCCTGCCTCTATAAACAGATGCCACGATATCATTTGGACAAAGCCCTTCGCGCTGTGTCGGACTCGAACTCACGACGTCTCGTCCTGAGACCCACCCGCTCGTCTGCTGCCGGGCTGGACCTCGGAGGTGCCCCAGCAACCGCTACAGTCGCCACTGCGGCCGCAGCTATAGCCGCCACTGCTGCTGCTGCTGCTGCTGCTACCGGCGCTACTGCCGGCGGCCCGTCAGGTAGCGGAACCCTGGCCGCCACTGCGGCCCCCATGCGCCTTCCTGCAGCCAAGCGGGACTGGGCCCGTGCGCCCACAGCTCACAGCCTGAGCTCTAAACCAGCATCTAGCTCAGCAGCAGCAGCAGCTGTGGGGCCTTACGGAGATGGCGGCGTCGGAAGAGGTGGCAGCGGCGCTGGTGCTTCCAGCGGCAGCGGGGTGCCTGCTTGCGGCTACCTGGCTCGCGGCTTGGCTCAGCTGCGTCCGTCTCAGCTAACGGCGCTGGCTTGGGCTGCGGTGGAGCTGCTCGAGGTGGTGGGGCAGGAGGGTGTGACGGCTGTGTGGGCGGCGCAGCTGTTCGCCGCCACGCAGACGAGGCTGAGCCGCCTCAGGTGGGTGCTATCTCAGGGCGCCGGGGACCAGGGGCTGGAGGTGAAGGTGCAGGTGCAGCTCAAGGGAAGATCCAGGGAAAGGGTTTTGGGAAGGGCTGTTGTGAGGTGAATGTCAAGGCAGGGAGGGGCATTAAACAGCTCGAGGCTCGGGGCTTGGGGCGAGGAAATGTAAGGGGTGGGTGGGTGGTTACATGTGAGTTGAAGGCAGGAGTTTGAAGGAGGGGTTCCTAGGGTAAATCTTGGCGGTCCTGCCTGCGTTGGCTATACATTGTTTTTCGCAGCCAGTATGCTTCCCCCCATTTGGGGTTTTCGATGTGAATGCTCACGCCTGACTTTCTTTTCTTCTCTCCTTCTTGACTACTCCCCCGCCCTGCGGTGTCCCCCGGTTTATTATCTCATTTCATGGACATCTCCACATGCAGCCCTTCGCAGCTTGTGGATTTACTGTGGAGCATTGGCCGCGGCCGCCGCCGACCCACGGGGCCGTGGCGCCGCGCGATGGCGGCGGCGCTGCTGACGGCGGCGCCGCGGCTGGTGCCTTGGCAGGCCGCCCGGGCGGCGGCGGCGTACGCGAAGCTGCGCATTCCCGTTCCGTACACGGTGAGTGGATTCGGAACACGTCCGTGCACCTCGCACGTTCTTGTCGTGTGCCCCCTTCCTAGGGAACCGGAACCCCTCCTAGCAACTAGCCGGGCTGCGCCGCCGCCTGGCGGGATGTGGCCGCCCGCACTGACCCGAGTGTCCGACAGCTCACCATACCCTCTAAAACACACACACGTACACACACACGTGAGTCCTCTGTCCCCCGAGCCGGTTCAGCAGGCTGAACTCTGGGTATGTGCCGGGGTTGGGGAGGTTGGGGTTTTAGCTCAGGGAGGACTTGCCTCTCTTGTTGCAGTAGAACAACGCCCTTTCCTGGTGCTGCAAATAACTATTGGCAATATTCATGCGCCTGCCGTTCCCACCACACCTTACCACAACCACCACCCGCTTGTGTTTAGTTATATTGCAATCTGGGTTCCCTCCCTGCGACGACTACTTGCTTCCAAGTTACTAACCTGGCGGGTTTACTAGCATGGATGGTTCTTCCCGGGGCCTTTTCAACAACGAGCCGAGAGCCAGTCATCACGCTAGGACCATTTTCTTTATTCGGCTTTATGTGGGGACCCCCGCTCGCCCACATGCCAGGTGGCCGCTGCCCTGCTCAACACGTTGCACCGCAACCTTGCGACAGCGCAGCCGTCCGACGTGGCAGCCATGGTGTGGGCGCTACCGTACATCATGCATCCGTACACGGAGTTATTCGTACGCAGGCATCGCAAGTACGTGGCGCGGGGCTGGGGTGGAGGTGGTGCATGGTACATGCGGCATGGACGGCATGGCATATGACAGGCGGCATGGATGCAGGCATTAAAAAGGCATCCGGATTGCATCTTGTGGTGCAAAGCTCTGTCGGTGGTAGCGGGTAGGCTGACCCGTGGTTCGATGGCTGCCGCACCGCGTCGTTGGCAGTAATAAGAGTGAAGCATCGCAAACACGTTGCTCAGTAGAGTTTGTTGGCAGGGGCGATGAAAGGTCACCGCTTACTTAGCAACGCTCCTCCACAACGTAAAGTTGTTAGTGGCTTGGGACTTGGGAAGCCGTATTCATCACGACCGCCATCGCCGCCATCTCCACAGGCTGTTGTTGGACTGCGCCATCTCCACGCAGCCCACACTGCCCTCCCTTGAGCCTGCCCAGCTGGTGCAGCTGGTTGACGGCTTTGCGAAGCTGCGGCAGCTACCCGGCGAGGAGTGGATGCGGCTGCACAGGTGTGTGTTAGTGGGGGCCCCAGTGCTGCCATTGCTGTTGGAAAACGGGGGGTGCGAATGCTCTCACGAAAAAGGGCCGAGGCCGTTACCGGAAAATGTTGAATATTCCGGGTAGACGTTCAGGGTAAGGCCCTGTACACTGGACCGATGTTGTACCGTTGCGCGTGTATTAATTTGTATCCGATGCGTCAAAACAGATGCATCGCGCCCAAACTCGCCCTAGTTAATATTTAGAAAATTATAGCGCTCTCTGCATGGACCCTCTTCTATTCCTGCGTGTTGCGTGCCTGCTCCCATTTCCTCCTTCCCGCCCCCCTTTCGGGGCTCATTCCAGGGAGGCCTGCATCCGTCTCAAGTCCCGCTTCTCAGAGCCCAATCGCCGCAAAATCCGCCAGGCCTACGCGACCATGCTGAGTTTGTAGCTGATGCTGTAGCTGTTCTTAAAGCTGTTGGATTACACGGGATGCCCATGTGCTGTATGCCACGAAGGTGTAGACGTCCTTATGTATTGCGATATGAATTATCATAGTTATTACGGACAACCGCAGCTGTTTTGGGTCCGAATGTGTGCGCTAACCGCAGGGACAGGGTCTTGTGTATTGGGCTCTTTCCACAAAGTGGAGCCATCACATGTCTGCAACCTTCCGTGCACTGACCTTACGGCTGGTGGTGGGTATGCGTCGTTTGCTTGCATCGTTTGCCTATTCGTACTACAAGCACACACGCGCACATGGTTCACGCACATACGGTGATAAACATTTTACGGAGCAGCTAGAGGAAGCGAAATCAACAACTGCTACGCCAGGCCTCGGCCGCCACGGACGGTGTCAGTTGGCTTCTTGTACGGCACCTACTCGATCGACAGGATTGTTAGCCCAAGTGGTGGTAGGCGGCGTCGGAGTGGTTCGGGAGGGGGAGATTGCGATGACAAGATGTGTCCTTTTGTGGTTGCTACCGGGCCCCGGAGTCCTGCACGTGCGGTGAGAGGAGTAAACACGCTGCTGCAGCTTGTGGATGCGGCGAAGGATTATGGAAGGTTCGCTAGCTGGCTGGCTCGCATAGGGTGCCCAGGGTTTCATGCAGCACATCATGCTGTATCACATCATGACTTTTCCCTTAAGCGTTCACCTCTGGGGTCGGGCCCCTGGAATGGAAGGGGGAACAGACCTGGGAAGTGGCAACCGGCCTGCGCCAGGCCCGTCCGTGCAAGGCACAACCTCAAGTTCGTCACTACCCGTCCCGCTGCATTCAAAAATAGCAAAAGTTCGACGTCTGATACGGCTGCTGCTGCTCCTGCTGCGCCATACGGACAACGCTAACCATCACATCGCGCATGCAATATAGAACAATACAGAACAAGAAGTGAACTGTCACTTCTTGCAGTTCTCAACTCCATACGTAAAGACCTATTCCGGGCATCCCGCACCCTACGAGCCTTTGCCGCATAACAAACATCGCCACGCTGGCACTCACCGTCAACCGCCTCCCGACCCCAACCTTCGCCACACGTCCACTTGGAAAAACAATATATGGACCGTTAAAGCTCGTTAGGTGGTAACTCAGTCATGACAAAAAGGATAGATCCCGCACGTAAACAAACAACTGCGTCGTCGCGTCAAGAACGTGGCCCCATGTACACATCTCCCCCTAACCCCCCTTATCCCTCTGTTAGTTACCGAGGGTGCCCAGCGGGCGGACCCCCTGCCGGCCGCTTCACTCCTCTACTGGCGCCTGGCTGCTCGCCGCCGCCACCACCAACGCCCTCCACACCAGCGCCGCCGTCTGCTGCGGCGCCCGCTGTCCCTGCAGCAGCTGCATTGGCTGCCTCGCGTTCCGCGCATATCCGGCGACTCTCTGGCGCCGCCATTCATTCAGGTGACATCACAACCACCGCAAGGAGGCAATCGAAGGGAGGGCGAGAGGGAGGTGCGGGGGGACGGACAAAATCACAGCCGCCGCTGGTTTTGTAGCAGAATGGGGTGCAGGATGTAGAGCTGGGTTTCTTGCTTGCGTGAATGTGTCCCTCTCGAGAAAGGCTAACCATGGGTTGAATGCGCCAAAAGCTCCGGGTAAGGCACGCAAGGGTAAGGTCTGAAAGGACGGAGAGTATCCTCGCCCCCAGCGCCCTCCATGCAAAGAAAGATGCAATGCGCCACCGAATGCGAGGAAAACGGGTCGCACTTCATCATGACGATCACGTACACGTGCTTGTTTTATACACGTGCTTGTTTTATACACGTGCTTGTTTTATACAGAATACGCATTTCAGGTCAGCCCATTCGTATACGGATGAGTCTTCCTCCCTCCCTCCCAAACCCCGGCTCCTCATCCTGCCGTCGCTAATGGACTCCTAAGACCCATACCAAATTCCGTCATCCCGTCGGACTCTCTGCCATTCCGAATCCCTCAACCCATCCCACCCCTACCCGCTGCACGTTTCAGGACCTCCTGTTCGTGCACCACCCCGACCCAGCCATGCTCCCCTCGGGTCCGATGCCTCCGGTGTCCCCTCCCCCCCCCTCGGTAACCTACCCGCATAGTACTGTAGCGGCGCCGAAATTCCCACATCCATTTCGGGCACTCGGTGCATCCCCTCGAAGGCGGCAGCGCACGCCAGCTGGTAGTGCCCGTCACGCGCCTTCGACACCGCCTCCTCGATTTTGCTGCGGCCGTGTCCGTAAACATGTGTACGTGACACATGACGTATTATACATGGTTGAAGACAGCAACATGACACCGACCAAGTCAGCAAAGGGGGGGCGGGTGGTGATGGAGGAGGAGGCAATGCCATCGCCAGAGGCAGGGGCAGCGGTAGGTGAAGTTGCCAACGGGTATGTTGAGAGGCTGCGGATCGAATGGATGCCGCATCCCGAAATGGTCAGCTGCTGCGGCTGCTGCTTTGCTCCAGAGTCTCCCTCTTACCGCTACGCTCACTCCCATCTTCGTGGATTACAAGGTGAGAGGCCCTCACCCGCCCTTCCCCTTCTCCTCCCGCGTTTCCCCCAATTGGGGCTCCTGTCTTCACCTCCGGGTAACCACACCGCGAGCACACGCACTCCTGGGCGGCCCTCTGGCGAGCTACTGAAATCCACCATCATCAGCCACCACCCTGTCGCCCATCACCAGCCACCCACCGGTCATCACACCTCAGCCGACCCAGCGCCGCCCTCAGCGAGGGCTCATCCAGTCGGCGGTACGGACAGCCGTGGTGGTCACCCGGACCGCCGCTGAACCCCACGATGGTGGTGCAGCTGCGGGGGGAAGGGGGGAAGCGCGTGGGGGATGGAGCATTAATCGGTATCTCACCGGAATCCGTAAAAGTCGTTTGCGGGGCGGGAGGCGGGAGGGGGAAAGAGACGGGGGAAAGGAGCTGGGAAATGGAGAACCTTGTCCCACGTTCCTCCGCACACACCCACATGTACAACATCCGTACCCATGTGCAGACAACGAGACAACGCTGCTTTACAATACATACTGCCTTACTTGTGCGCCGTATAATCCGTACGTTTGCCCTCCCTGCCGTAGTTGTGTCGTATGTTGTACGCGTACTGCTTATCGAATTGGTCCGCGGGAGTTCGAGGCGCGAATTCGGAGCGCCAGAAGATGAGGGCCTCCTCCAAAGGCAGACCAATGGCCTGAACAAACGAACGAACAAACGGGGGGCCAATAGGACGACCGATGGACCCGAAGGGGTTTTGTCACGCGCACGAGATTGCGGATCAGGCCCCAAGGCCGAGTATACGGAAGGACGGTACACAAACCAAAACGCAAAAGCTCTCTCGCTCCCGCTCATATCGTTTCTGCACACAGGCGCATGTACGCACAAGCACACTCACGCTACTTCCTACTCGCGGCTCAGCGTCCACAGTCCCCCTACGGCCGCGGCCACATACCTTGAGGAACAGGCCCAGCTGCTGTCTGCCCCCGTGTCTGAGGTGCCTCTCGGAGTGCAGCGCCGCCATTAGGTGGGACATGCACAGCGGGAAATGGCGGGAGGCCAGCTGGTGCAGGGTGGCGACGGACACATCGCCGTACTTGGTGGCCACGCCGCTGTAGTCAGCGACTAGGGACCTGGGATGGGGGGAAACGCGGGGGAGACGATTTGGTACGAGTTGGTATGACAGAAGAAGTGTAATGAAGGCGCAGAAATGAGAAGGCGGGTTGGACGGAGCCAGAAGGGGTTGAATGGGAACCTTGACTCAGGGGGTCAGGGGTTTCAAAAACCGAGCAGCATTGAAACGCCCTATATTGCCGCTCCCACCAACTTCTGACCCACGGGTCGCTCCAAGCAAAATAGCACGCACACCCATTTCCTTCCGCAGGCCGCGGCCCGCACCCCTCCCCTGGCCCTGCCTGTTGGTGAGCGACGCCACCAGGGGCTGCAGGCGCTGCTCCTCCTCCGCCGGAAACATCTGACGCCACTTGCGAGCCATTTCGGAAAGGCCCTGAAGGACGGGAATGGGGGAAGCGGGAGGAGGCCGACGACTGGAACAAGTCTGGAAAGGAAACGGAAGGCCGCTGTGACGAGTGAGCTGCGCCTGCTGACAGGTGGCAAGAAGGCCTTCCCTCCCCTTCCCCCAGTCCACACACTCCGCCCGGCGGCCACTTTCCCTCCTCTCCTGCGAAGCCTCCTCTGCACCCTGCTACCACCCCCCAAACACACGCACCTTGCTGATCCCCGTTCTGAACTCCGTGATCACCAAGGGGGCCAGGGCGTCCCGGCTCACGTAGGCCCATCCGCCCCGCAGCAACACCCTGCGTTGCGACACCAGCTCCGGAACCCGGGACCAGGACACCTTGGCGGGCGAGGGGGTAATGGGAGGGGGGAGGCGGGGTACGGCAGGGTCACATGAAGCCCATTAGAACCGAGCACCCTCACACCCGTTGCGTGTGGCAGTGGCAATGGCTGTGCAATTAGTTATACGACGTGATGACGTTTCCGTTAGGTTTGATGTTGCGATGGGGGCGATGACGTGTTGTCTACTACGGTGTTTTGTTATTGCGTGTTAGTGGCGCTGGTGTTGCTGGTGAAGACTTCCTCGGTTGACGTCACATCCACTTCACATGCTATACACAGACGTGCGTGTACATTTACGTGCATGCGTTTATTCGAACACCCTAGGGTGGCAAACCGGTGCTTACTGCAGCACACACATTTATACATGGTGATCTCTCATCCAACCCAAACAAGCATTGCATATCCTCGTACGGCACTGGGACTCCAGGGCCCCAATCACCTTGTAGAACCTCCTGTCCTGTTGAGCGCGGAGTACGGCCTCCTTTGTTTCCAAATTGGCACGCATCACCTGTACATAACGTGCATATGTACGTAAGCGCGGTGAGGGGAGGCGGCCAGGAGATGGAGGCGGGTTTGGTTGGTTGAGTGTCGGTGGTTAGTGGGGGTTTCAGGGTCACACGGTTGCATCGCAATTGCAGGTACACGCGCATGTGGGTTCCTTTGCTGGCCAATAACCCTAATGCACTCCTTAACCCTCTCCCTCTGAGAAAGCCGATCCGGGGTCTTACCCACCCACCCACCCACCCGCACCACCCGACCTGCGCGCCCTCGTCTACCCTCCCGTGCATGTTTAAAATACGCAGCCAATGTCACAGCCACTCTCGACCCTCGCAACCACCCGGGCCCTCCCCACCTGGACAATCTCGGGCAGCAGCTCATCCAGCTCGGCGGCAGGTACGGGGCGGTACTGGGGAGCATGGGCCGCCAAAAATGCCTCCTACACGGTTTCCATGATTACAAGAGGGGTTGGGCCGTTCAGGGTTTCGCATCCGGAGAGCAAGGATGGTTAGGAAATGAAAATATCTGTGTGGCTGTTAATATTGATCTGACGAATCGTGTACACACAATACATATCAAATATGTATAAGACGTATGCCCCATACGTCTTATACTTCAGACAGGCGTTTCCTTTATCGCGACTGTCTGGATGGAATGAACACACACACAGACACGCAAGCTATGCATCTCTTCTGCTGAAACACAACGCATACAGGCGCAGATACTGCCATTTGAAAGCGCCTCGCATACGACGTTTACGTTCCATCTTGTATCCGCCGTGTGCGCTTCATGCGGACGTAAGCGACTTTCCTCGCCTCCTGCGCTCTCTTGCTTCTACACACGCATACTCACACACACGCACACATAGCTGTATACATGCGTACACACGTACATGCTCCGCAGCATTATAAGTCCCGAACTTGAGTCGGAACAGCTCGCATTCCTGTGCCAGGAACCACTTCCGGAGCTCGGCAGTACGGCAGTACGCCAATCGCAGTACGAAGTGGGAGATGAGGTCGTTCCGGAGCTCCTCTTCGTGGTTGGAGGCAGACACGGCCGTCATGCCCTTGATGTGCTTCTGCTTTAGCTGGTTCAGCTTGTCCTGTTCGAGTTGGGAACATCATTTTTGTGAAAGCATACAGTCTGTTCAGAACGAGTATCGGGGCCCGACTGTCGTCAGGCGTACGGGACCGGACAGCAGAGCTCTGACTTGAGCCCGGACCCAAGCCTGGGTTCAAAGCGGACGCGATCCAAAAGGAATGATATGATGCGAACACAACAACCAAGCGCTATCCCATTCTGTTGGAGTCTGAGGGGAAGTGGAAAGGGCGCGGGTGAAGATAAGCTGGAGCTGCGAGCTCCTGCTGAGAGGAGCTGTGAGCTGGAGCTGCAGGCGTGTGCGAGTGAGCGCAGTGCGAAGGCGCGAATTCCACCCCTATGCAAGGAACTGGGTGGGAACACCAGCCTTACTGAACTCGACGCGCGCCGTGCCGTACTCCCCCCCCCGAACCCATCCCGCTCCGGGGACCCAAGTCCTGACGACGGCTCACCAGCAGCTCCTTCTCGCCCTTGTTGGGGTGCCGCAGCTTGTAGGCTTCCATCTCTTTCAACACTGCGGGATAAATTCAAGGTTGCGGCCCAAGAAAAAGCCAAAGCGAGGTGAGTCGGTTCGCAGCATGGACCCGTGTAAACCGCTCAGCGATCCAATAAACCCTTTCATTGCGTCATTCGCAGGCGTTGCGGGCGTTCCACCGGGCTGGGTGGAAGCGGCTCAAGCAAAATGCGCACCAGATAAACGCGCCAGTGCCAGACGCTCAAATTCTTCCAACGTTATGTTCTCAGAGGGTGGGGTATTGTACATGCTCAAGTCGGAAAGCATCCGGTCCCCACTCTTTGGTGCATTTGCGGTCGCGCCTAGCCCAGCCAAGGGTGTAAAGCCGGCAGGGCCAGCCTTTGGAGCTGTAAGAACCTGCATGTTCAAGAGCTAGCTTGCCAGTCTTTGACTGCGGAGTTTCAGCCCAGCTGTCGCTCTCTCTATCTCCTAACTTGTAGTAATACTAGAATCGAGACCGCATAATCATAGTCCATGATAACATGTAGAAGATTTGATGATTGTGCCAAACTTGCCTTGACCGAACCATGATGCAAAAGACCAAGAAACAGGCCGGTTTCGGATTCGCGCCCAAATCAATACCCGTACAACCGTCTCAGTCACTTTTCCTAAAGAACTAAATATCACCGAAGGCACATGTGTGAAATTTACAACTTTACCTTTGTAAAGCGCTTAGGTGAATATGGTGCATGTATAGCACGATGGCGTAATTGACCTACTAGTGAATCGTGCGCTTTTCTTCTATCTACATCAAACAGCCTGTCATCGTCTCTTCATCAGAGGCCACATGACCACGGAGCCACTGCATGTGGAAATACCAACAAGCGGCCGCTCTGGCCATGGTGCAATAAGAACCGCTATTATGATGCCAGTAACGAACTTGTCACGTATCTGCCGCTGCAGTTGCCGTATGCCGCCATCTCCCCAAGATGCTGTCTCGTGAGAAGTACCAAGCACGCCCGTTATGCAAGCAAGCAGTTCACAGGATCTCAAACGCTGGCGTGCATGTGCACACACACACCCACACACATTAAAGCACACACATACATACACACCCAGCCCAGGCAGCCTCATAGGCTTTTCCAATGAGGTAAAACATCAGCGCGGTGTGCGCCAGTACGTGGGTACATAATGTACGGTAGCAGCGGCCTGCTGTTCAGCCTGCACAAGCGCGCGTGGGTGAAGGGGGAAGAGACGGATTGCCCCTCGGCAAACGACATTTGAACCTCTAGTTCTAGGGCTATAGGCATGAGGGGCTGCAACTCTGTGTACTCCTCGTATGTATACTCTGTATATCTGTTTCTCAGGTCCGGTCCGCGCACTGCCATTCGGTGGCTTAGCTCGCGCCACACTGATGAAGACCCACGGGTCGTTGGTATTCCCAGCGGGGGCAGCACGCGGTCCCGAACCCTAAAGACGGCCCTCCGGTAACCGAGAATTCGCAGAACAAGCTCTAGCAGAAAGCAACAGCAACTACGGGAACGCGTCGTTCAGGGTAGTCTTCATGGCTGCTCTTCCTGGCCTTCCATCATCGGTTCCCCGGTGCCATGAACTTCATGCCCGTTGGCTTGGGCCATTGCTTTTGGCCCTTAAATTAAGTCGCAACTTGGCGCGATAATGGAAGCCGCATGGGGCGCAGACGACACGGGCACAACCGGAGCTGGTATGGGCGAATCCAATGCCCATATGCGTTACAAATACTTTATTTCTTAATATGTATACCTCGGACATATTCACCTATTGCTTCTAATCACGCAGTCCCATACCGTATCACCAAGATGCACCACGGCCACCACCTTGACCAACAGCTTAATATGCCGTACGGTGATAGAAATCCACCGGTAGAGACCTGTGCCGCCTATCCCAACACACTCTGAGCGTCCCAGTACCCGGAGAAACAAAGACCGCAAATGTACAGCGCGTAACGAGTGTGTAACGAGTAAGAAATATCACGCTGCAATCCCCGTAGGAATTGTACCCACAAACGCAACCTTGCGGCAGGTCGCGGGAGTTCATAAAGGGGATATCCCATACACACCAGAAAGGGGATATCCCATACACAGGGTTTTTCTCCTCTTCCTTAATCCCCACATTCATGGCGTTTCCGAACCCTGCGCCACATTCCGCACATCAGGCTGTCCCTGCGCCCTGCACCGGGGGCTATTCCTCCCTTTCCATTCCGCACATCAGGCTCTTCCTCGGCCTCCAGAGCTTCTACCCTGCTCCTCCCAAACTCCATTAGTCTGAGCGCCACGTTACCAGCAGGGTGCATAACCAAATGGCATGTGGGACGACCTGCGAAACCGAAGGGAAAACACAACCGCGTTAGGCACAATCCATCTGCTTGAAACAACATACTTACCCTTCGACCGCCAGCACCTGCTCTTCCCGACGACCTGCAAAACGAGGTGGGAAACAGAGAAGTGAAAGAAAGGAGCTTGAGAGGATGTCCATAAGCTAGAAAGAATGAGCTTACCGCCCTCGCCGCCAGCACTGAACAAAAAGAAATCCGCCGTATGTACGAGCATCCGGACATGAATGGCGATGCCGGGCGCTCCACTGTGAAGCCACACCCCTGGAGCCACCCCGTCCAGTAATGGAAGTGGCCAGATGTATGCAGGAGCTGAGGGAAGGACAGTAAGATACGTAGGAAGTAAGAAAATTCTACTCAGAACAGGGTCGTTACACCAACATACAGCAATCGTTTGGCAGGCGGCCAGCAGCGCTGATCCTGGTTTCGGTTTAGGGCCGGACACCTTTCCTAAAGACGTTTGCTGCGCGGCGCTTCGCTGGGCTGCTACTGCTGCCGCCAGCCGCCAGCCAAGCACGATTGCATAATCCCGTGAGGCACACACGCCCACATTTTCCCATGCACACAGACACAACAATCATGCCTGGCTGACGGCCGGCAGCGCTGATCCTAGGCTTTGCTGCGGCTTCGGTCTTTCCTGTAGAGTTTTGCTGACTTGTGCTGCTACTGCTGTTGCTGCAGACCGCCAGCCAAACACGATTGCGTACTCCTAACAATACGCACGAAAGCAAACCCTAAGCAGTACGACCAGCTGCAGGGCAAGAGGTATCATGAACGACCTGAATTCCTGACTCACGCTACAGGGTATCCCAAATCGTGTATCGCTTCATTGCTCCCGTGGGGTTGTCACATCGCCGCCGCGCGGCCACACAAGCTTGATGCGCATCAGGAGCAGACAGGAGGGCGGTTGTCCAGATCGCGCTCCGCATGCTGACCTTCCAGCCTCTTCCTGTAAGCAGACAAACAAATACAATACATTAGCCCAAACGCGAGGATAGCCATGATTCATACAGTCTCTCCTTCTACACTACAGCTTATTGCCGGATTTATGTCATTTAGGTAACGAAACCACTCCTATTTTGTAGATGGTGTTCAAATCGAGCATCAAGCAAAGGTCCCCTCCTAAAGCTCAACCTTCGGAGGCGTGCTTTATCCCAGACCTACCCAAAAGGCTCATCCTACCTTATGGTGATTGTTCCTGTTTATCCTGGAATGCAGTGTAGCCGCCCCCCTTGACAATAACATGTGGGCATTTTGTCGTCCTTGCACAACACGAAAAACAGCGTAACCCTGCATATGAGGAATGGTAAGTTGAAGAGCATGCCATTGTAGCCTAATCGTGACCTCCAAGGCATCAACAGCGAAGGTGCTGTTCCATGTTTCAGTAAGCCTTCTGGCCGCGCTCCAGTCGAGGCTGACCCACCTTGCAGGTCAGATGCCTCATGGACCAACTCCTGTCCAGAAGCGTGTCGCTAAATCTTCACGGCTAGTTACGAGCGGGAGCGTCACCTGCTGACGTCCCAGGCGCCGCAGTGTCGCTCCGATTGCACTTTAATTTGACGAATCATAGATAGGTCAGACTCAAGAGCAAAAAATGCCGAAACGTTCAAGTTAAAACACGCCAGTTGTGGAAGGCCAGTTGTGAAAGGTTTTGACAGCTCCCAGCCTACACCATCGTCCTACATGGTTTACAAAGCTTGTATATATAACTAATAACGTATGTGGGTATAAGCTAAAAGGAACTGTTTGGTGTCTGCAGGCCCGCAAGTACGCTGGTGATGAAGTACGGGGAAAAGAGCTTGGAACTTGTTCCACATCGTACGACTCACATGTTCTGCATGGTAACATCGAGCTTGTACAGGAAAAGAGGAAGAGTTTAATCTGGAATTCGCAGGGTCCTGACTGACAGCCTATGGTACCCAATTCTCAAAAACTGCGACAACATTATACAGCCTTAAGATCGCGTTTTACATGCTTTCACTCCTGTTCCGCCATGCTCTAGGCTTCATCTATCTTTCCGTTGTCTAGCGTAAAGCCATGCGGACTCAGGATCACCTTGCTTTCCTTCTGTATAGTTAGGAAAACCTTTTCGCTTCAGAGGTCTCACCGCGATTTACATGTTATCAAGTCTTGCCAATGCACCCATAGGCTTTCAGTCAGGACCGGGCTCGCTACCTGCAGCTGGACATCCAGAGGCTTGCCGCAGCAATGCCCCCACATCATACCAATTCGTCGGGAACATGGTTTTCTTGCTGAACGCCTTCCACTTGTGGTGCAACCGTTCTGTGTACAAAGCGTGCTGTATCATTTTCTGTGTTTTGGACGATTGGGGTGATTCGTTACTGCAAAAAAGGCGGCTGCGGCATTGGTCGTACTCCCCATCTCCTGCTCCCGTACATGCCATACTCCAAATTACAGCCGCAGGCTCGCAAGCAACCGTACTTCCATACGACTACCACCACCTGTCCTCCGAACCATCCACCTTTTCTCAAGGGCATAACCTACACGCCTCCGAACCTCACGCAGCTGACAACACGACCCAAACGACGCAAAACACTTTTTCCAACTGCCATGCACCTAGTTTACCCAATAGCCCTAAACAGCATTACTTAATCTATTTTCGTCTCCCATACGCCCTTTAGAGACCGCCCGCGTCGTAGCCATTATTACGCCTCAAGACTACACCAATCATTACTTGCCTGCCGCCTGACTACGGCCCTCACATTGCTGCAATCCACTATCACGTGAATGACATGACGCCCGTCATTCAGCGCCACCGTGGAAGCTGCCACACTTCAACGTCGACATTAATATTGCGCCACGCCGCGCTACATCCTAAAAATCCGATCACACATCTTGGGACGTTATGTCACCGCCCGGCGCACCGAGCCCCGTCGATGGCTGGCTGCCAGCTATTTTGATTGATGCCGCTTGCACTGGTGGCCCGGAAGCCTGGGCTCCAGGATATTCCTAAGCAGGGCAGTCAAACCCAAAGATGCAGCCAAACACCGCGCCTGCCCCGCCCCCGCCCGGGGGCCAACGAAGCAGCAATCCCCAAGCCAAGCCAAGCCGCCCAACCGGACGTTCAAGTACACCCCGCCCGGTACTGTCCTGGGCTGGCTGAGCCTCCGTGCCCTGCATCCCCTGTACCTTCTCTCCCAGCACGCTGTCTCAGAAAGGACCCTTCCTTTTGACGTAAAGCCCCTAACGAGCCCCGGGGACCTCAGATTCGACCCGACAATACGCCCTCGAGTGTGAAGGCCTTGAGCAGCGCCCATAAGCCACGATGAACAACATGATGATGCCATTACAACGACGACAACATTAAAAAAACCTGTTTGACGACTGAATGCAGCCACCCCATCGGCCCAAACAGCCGCAGCCGCGCTACCAACCTGAGGTGACCCTTTCCAACACTGTTTCGCCGGCCATCCGTATACTCTAGCACGTTCACACACACAAACACACACACACACACACATTGGGATACGGTTAGGTGCCCCTGGCTAACGTCAGGCCTCGATTGGTATGTAACAGAGACACACATACACATATACGCACCGCCTTCCGCGATGCCCTCACGCTGGACGACCCTTCAATACCCGCCGCCCGTGCTGCCACTCCCCTCCTCGCCTGCCGTACCCCAACCTTCAACCTGCAAGGAGTGCATGTGGCAGAGACAAATGCCACTATAGCGGCCCCCGTTATGTCGCGGGCGGTAGAACGAAGCGGGGAGGGTGGAAAGAGGCCGGAAATTGATGCAACCATGACCCCGGGGAATCAGCAACCCTCCGCCATCGTCCCTAACACTTCATCACTGTGCCTGAGATCCGGCAATCCGTCCCTCTCCCCCTCTCAACCTTCTGTGCTCATAAGCATCCTGCCATCATCCGGTTGTCCTTACCTCCTAACATCTCCACACCTCTCCTCGAACTCACCCAAACGCCATGGGTGAATTTCAAGTCCTCCTTCAGCCACGATCCAGCCCAACATCTAACCAGCGACCCATGCCATAACCCAGCCCTCCCGACACCTCCACCGCCTCTCACCACCTCTTGGTGCACCAACGCCCGTGTACCACGGGAAAACAACATCCAACAACGGCGCGCAAAAGCAAGCACCAATGCGTGTCGTACGTGCAAACAAAACCGTACTAGGAAGAAAGCCCAATGCATGTTCAAAACAAATCACCAGATGTGATGCGCGGCACAAGACCGCAAACACGACCAAAACCGTACATACAACGTTAAACATGCGGAGAAACACATGGAAACACATTCACAGATAGGAAGGCGTTCTAACGTACACCCGTGCGAATGTCATATGCCTCGAAACACAGAGCAGTGTGCTCCTAGAGAACTGGAGAAACGCATAGCTCTTGACAAGTCCGTACTCGCACCGCCGTACGTTCCAAACAGTTGTTGGGCGCTCAACGACCTCTTCTCTATACTGGCAGCCCCCAAATCACACCGCACCCCTAAATATCCACCACCATAGTATTACGAAAAGCTTTGTGTTTTTGTTTGTCTGTACATTCTCAAGTGCCGTTGTTGTTGTTGTTGTTGTTGTTTGAGAACTGTACATTTATTGCATCGACATGAATCTCTGCGACTCCCTTCACACTCCTCCACTCTCAGAACCATGGCAAACACATTGGGGCAACAAACCAAACCGCAAACCAAACAAGCAAAATATTAAAGAAAACGCCAAACCAAACAAGCTCACAAACCGACAAGCTAACTATGCTAGCTGGTGTGCGAACCGTGTTGTCTCCAGTTGGCGCATCATCATCATACACCACGCGGTAATCAAACCAAACAGTGACAAAAGAGGCTACGGTTTCGCAAACCTTCTTTTAACGGCATCGAAATGGAGTTTACGGAATATAAGCAAATAAGCAATCGTAGCACCGTTACTACCAGCAGCAGTAACAGCAACTGCGGCGGCGCCACTTTTAGCGCAGAGGTCGAATGACAACGGCCTGAAACAGTCCCGAAGCCCTGAAATCCAAAGCAGCAGCAAATCAGCGCCGCGCGTACATTTCACCGCAGCAGCAGAGTACCGTGCATGACACTACTGCGGCTACCAGTGCGGCTGCCAGGTCGCCAGGTGGCATCCAGCTGCCATGACGGCCGCGAAGGACCCCGACAGCGTAATCCTCGGCGTGTTCCTAAAAAGCTCTGCATCCCCAAATCCAACATAATTATTGCGGAAAGGCCGCGAGTGGCAGTGGAAGGTCAGGCAAGCAGGGTGCTAGGCTAGGCCGAGAGCGGCGCACACACGAAGCTGCCACTGCTATTGCAGCCAGCTCCGCGAAGGGGCACTTCCCCCTCCCCGTTTGTCACCCTCTCGGGCGAATATAACAATTGATCCATCCAGAGAGGACGTTGAAAGCACTTCTCTGCTTTAAGAAAGGAGCTTCAAACTTGCATTGCGACGCATTTCTTCGTCCCAGTGGCGCTATCAGAGGCTGTTGCTGCTGTACGACCCAGATTGCTATCTCCACACAACTATTGCTATCTCCTGCCAACGATAGCAGCGCGCTGACCCAAATCGCCGGAAGGTGACTGCAGCGTGTTAGCTGTTGCTAACGGACCTCAATGCTGTCGCTCTGGTGCCAAGCGTACGCAAGCATATGTACTGCCGTCCTAAGCAGGGGTACAGGCCGCACCAAGGGTGTGCAACAGGGGTGTGGCTCGTGCACTTCCCACCCCGTGCCGGCTCGCAGCGGCGTGAAGGACCTCGAGCACCTCTCGGTGGCCTCCCGCTTCCGCCTGCCTCAGTGCCAGGCCGTTCCTTGCATGTGGCTGCGCCCCCGCCACCAGTAGCGCCAGCACAACACAGCCGTGACCCGCTGCGGAGGCCTCAACCAGCGCACGACTGCCATCGACTCGCGGGTCAGCGCCCGCAGCAAGCAGCTCCAGAACCAGCTCCAGGTGGCCGCCGCGGGCAGCCTCCGCCAGGGCGCCGCTGGCCGCCGCTCGCGGGTCGGCGCCGTGATGGAGCAGCAGCCTCGCCGCCGCAACCCTGCCCTCATGGCAAGCGGCACGCAGCGGCATGCCGTTCTCCGCACGCGCACTGACACCTGCACGGAGGAGCACCTCCATGACTGCCACGTGGCCCGCAGCGCTGGCGGCGACCAACGCGCGCCCGCCGCAGCTGCCGGCGTTGACTCCAGCGCGCAGCAGCGTCCGTACGACCAGGGTGTCACCCGCGCCAGCCGCAGCAGTCAGCAGGAAGCGCTCCTACAGTTAATGGGAAATGTTAGCAGGCAGGGCTAAGTGGCAGCCGGGGGGCCCTGTTGCCGGTCGCCTGACCCGTAGAGCGTTGTTTGAAACGGGGTTGGTTGGGGACCATCGTGCGCAATCATGTCGTGCGCTATTTGTTTTTAATCTATGATGTCGTGCGAAATTTGTTTAATCTACCTACGACCCCCCAAACAGAACGACTGGCTTCTGTAATGGTGAAGTAATAGTGTTGACCTTATCTCCAAACCTAACACAACATCGACAGACAAGTATGTGGATACACTGCTACTGATACAACCCAAATATGCATTCGTATGGCTTTCAATCACCTGGACTCTCGGAGAGGCCCCTAATCGCAAGAGCTCTCGGACTAACTTGTTAGTGACGGCATCTCGGTCACTATGCACGCCGCTCAGCAGGCATTGCCGGAGATGCGGTGTGCTGTAGACATGAAACAAAGCTGTACTTGAGCCGTAACGTTTAAAAAGGAAGATCGCAGCGAGTTCTGGACAGGCCAAGACAGACTTAAACGCATCCCGCAGTCCAGAGCACGCACAGGCTGCCTGTGCTCCTCCTAAGCCAGAAGAGGCAAGCACCAGCTGCAAGAGAGGGGCTGGCAAATCTAGTAGTCCAGGCGGTAAAAGAGCTGCAGACCGTCCGACACCCGAAACAGCAAGCGATGTGCCGGTACTACTATGGAGCTTGAGCTGCACCATGCCTCTTTGAAAACCTCTAAAAGAGAGACGCTTGAGACCCAGCCAGTGTCTCTAGCCCTAGATGCGCTACCCGGAAAAGCTTGGAGATAGAAGGCCTGGGTCGTGCCGGTATGAATAGGACGATGGAGTGGCAATAAAATGAGTTCTTATACCCTGCAAGCTGTGCGCCCTGGTGTCCAGATCTGTAGACACCAACTGAAGGTGGCCTAAGCTGCCTGAGAGAGGACAAGATGCCAGAACGAGACTGGCCTGAACATGAGAATTCCGCATAGGTATCGATAATCAGGAAATACTACGACATCGTGCCGTGAGGGGTATCTTAGGAAATTTGCTAAGTCGTACTACGACAGGAAATCGCTGCTGATTTTCGTTGCGCTTTTGTGGAAGTGGAATCGACTACTTTCCTGAAGAACCAGATATCCACAGATATCGGCTCAAAGATAGGACCAGCATGTTTTCCGCGTATCCTTTCTTCATTGCTAGGCCTGAGCACTGTTATCGCATGAGTTTGAGTCACTTTAAGTTGTCAGTCAGTGGCCCGGCTTCCCCTTCCTATGCAAGAGATTTACGTGATACAATCATTTAGACAAACGTCAAATACGTGTGATCAAACCACAACGACCTATGGAAACGTTCCCGCCACAACCCAATTTCCGGTTGCAATGTTCCGAAGTGCCCGACTTGCTCAGAGGTCTGAGCCTACTTGTATGTCCATTGCGAACGTTTTGCCACATGTGGTAAATTGATTGTTGTGCATGAGAGGAATCGTGGTGCGAGAGGACGGTATGACCGTTCCTGACCGAAGTCATCATGGAATAGACTCAAAAAGTCTACCTGGGTTTTGTTTTCCCTGGCTGGGTGTAGGTGTTCTTCAATGGTACTTCCCAGTTCGTTTTCATTTCCCCTTGCTTTGGTCGCGCTCTTCCTTTCCAACTTCTGCAACCGTCGTGTTGAAAAACCGTGAACCCAAGACATGACAAGGAACACTAGAAGGACTCCCCCAAAACCCTAAGGAAGAGTGGAAAGCCCTCTCCACATGATTTCTCTCGGTCGAGGGGTTTGAGGAGCCTCGCGTGCAGCAGAGGCTCATGCGGGTGCCCTGAAGAGCCCCTCGCGTGCAGCAGAGGCTCATACGGGTGCCCTGCGTCAGCTAACTCCCCTTGAACGATTCTTATCATCGATGCCAATACCCCCTTGTCATACGGCTACTCCTTTGAAGTATTGTGGAGAGGCATCGGTTGTCAGTTTCGCGCGGTTCGGCTTCGGAGCAGCCGAAGCCTCCAGGGTATATGTACTACACAGCGAACGCGCCAAAATGTACCTTTGCTGTTGGATGATGACCTGGCAAAATGGAGCCAATTTGTAACTGAACTCGTGCTTTTGGCGGAAAGAGAAGAAAGGATATCCTTACATGTCCCATAACGGGCTCTGCACCCACAACACTTATGCCACATAGCATGCGGCAAACGAGGAGCGAACGATACAGTGGGGAGAGTCCACTGCTGCCGCAAATGTCCAAAAATGTGGATCTGGGATAAGTGAGTTTAGTCAGCAGCAACAGTCGCGCGCGGATTTACAAACTCACGGCAACACACTCGCGCAGATAAACTTTAGTGACAAGTGAACACAGCCAGGTCATCACCTGGTGTAACGACACAGCACATCTCAGCCCGTTACAACCGCATTCACGTGATCCGTGGACAGCCTTAGGTCTGGATCATATGATCCTGCCGCGGTGATGCCGACACGCGCACGCACGACCTGACTGCATCACCGCGGCCGCCGCCTACGCTTGTTATTCGCCGTGTTAAAAATCCTGTCATGGTCTGTTGTTGCTCCTACCTGTCTCCAAGTGGTGCCCCACTTGGCAGAGACGAGCAAATGTGCAGTACGGCTAACGGACGGTGAGGGATTTTCACTTCGAAAATCGCTTACGCTCTGCCCGCCGCCAGCCGTAATGTGATGGCACGGTGCAGTAAGGGACAATACAGCTGGCTGCTGGTGGCATCAGCCATTGCCCGAATCCTCAAAAGGTCACGGATAGGTGGTGTCCTGTCACACGCTCCGGATGTTCAGCAAATAGCTCCACAAGTAGGTGTAGGTGGGTGAGAGCGACGGAGGCAGCGGTGCAGAGGAGTAGGAGCGCCATCCGCAGCGGGGTTGAAGCCGTCCTCCTGCGCATGCTCGTAACGGACATACACGGACCCACGCACAGCGACGCACCACATGCCTTCCGCACTGCGCACGACATGCCTGCGCATGCAGCATCGCGCGCATGCATGTACGCACTGAGCAGCACAGCCTTCGCTCGCTGGGCCTGTCGGGCGGCCCTTTCAGCATAAGAGACAAGTCGTCATTGCAAGCTACCCGCGCACACACAATTCCAGAAACACACAGCCAACATCAGCACTCGGCTAGGTGGAGGTGCCGAGCCGTGTGCGCACCAGCCACGTCAACACATGCAACGGAAGACAATGATGACGGCCAGAAGCGTCGACATGGTCGCTGCCCCTATCCAGTCGACAACCCCTCTCCTCCTTGCCTTCTCTGCGCCCGCGCAGCACCGAGTCTCCCCTCACTCCCCAACCCCAGAGTCACCTCCACCATCTACGAGGAATGACACATCAGCAACCGGACACCAATTCCTGCATGCCTCCCTCCAATCGCCCTGCTACAGTTGCACATGTTCTAGGTCCTCATCCTCAAGCACCTCCAAACCAGCGTAATCCTCGTCCTCCCAGTCACGGAACAGATCGTCCCCGGCCGCAGCAGCTCCCAGCTCCGACCGGGATGCTTCGTGGCCATCGGGTGCATCTGCCGTAGAGCCAGCGGTAATCCGAGCCGCAGCCACTGGCGGGGCCGTTTGGGGTGCTTTGGGCAGCACCGCAGCGGACCCGCGCGGCAAGCCGGCGAGGGAGCCAGGCCTGGTCGGTGGGTTGATGCAACGTAAACCGGCGGGCGAGGGCCCTGGCAGTGCGTCGGCGGCGGTCGCAGGCGGTGCGGACTGCGGCGCAATCGGCTTGGGGCCGGCGGGGCTCGTGATGAGCTTGGAGGGGTGCGGGTTGCCGTTGGCCTGTGGGCGGAGGCCGCCGGCCACACCGGAAGCAGGGGATGAGACACATGGCATGAGGGCGGCGGTGGCGATGGAAGCAGGACGGGGAGGCATATGAGCAGTACCTAGAAGCCGGCACGACGCGTAAGAGGGGGCATTGCCAGCGGCCTGCCCGGGTGTAACGACCGTTCTCCAGGAAAGCGCGTATAGACATAACAAGAAGAAGGGGATGACTGCATGCATGGCTCTAAAAAGGCGCGCAGGAACGCGATGCCTGGGGCCTCCTTGGACGGTTTGCGGAGGGGCTGGTGTTGCCACTCGGCCGGATGGGACTCTGCTGTGACTCTAGCTAACCCACCGCCAACTCACCGCATGGTCGAAGGCCCGTTGAAAGCAACGCTTCCGCCCTCCATCGGCGATATGGGGATCCACATAGCCATCCAGAGAACCCTGCGGGGTTCGGGCAGTCCGGAATCGGCAGCCAGGTGTCGACAAAATGTGAGGCTCATTCCGTGTACGCGGACTGCAAAATAGCTAGTTCACTTGGCGGCGATGTTCGCCACTTGGCGAACATCGCATGTGACAAGAGGTACTAGGCACACATACAGCAGATACCAAAATGTGCAACACGGGGTTTTGTCAGAAGCGCATGCAAGCTATGAGAACGAGAACGAAAGCAGCGCTCCTTGCAAGGCGCTCAAGCAATGTTGCGGGTTCAAGCCGAGGAGAGTCTATGAACGTGAGGCCTGCCGTGCTCTAGGCACAACTCCTTCCGACACCATAGGTAGACGGTACGACAAGAGACAATCCCAAGGAGCGTTTGGGGCGTACGAGCTCGCTGAAACTTGTAACATCCATCCATCCATCCAAGGAGCGACCCGACCTTCCCACTTAACTAAACCGCGATGCGGGCATGCCGCAACCCAGCCTCGACCCGTGTAATCAATGGACATGTCTATCAGACGGCAAGCATCAGTATTGGACGGGGCTTTGCAGGCAGCACACTATCGCACCACCTACCCTGCTGCGGCTGGAATTGGTGGGGGAAGATGGAATCGCGGACACCGCTGTTATGTCCTCTATCGCCGCATCATCGCGCTCTTTCTGTAGGCGGGTGCGCTCCGCAAACTGCAATGGCAAGCGGCCGCCGTGCAACAGGGGTCAAAGACAAGAAGCAAGAGCGGGGAAGCAGCTAGTATAGAGGCGCCATAAAGGTGCCAGAGACAACCGGCTTCCTAAACTACACCGTTTGGTGCAGCCTCGATGCCGCTTCTTGCTGACAGATTGTTATGCTACGATTGGAATTGCCGGCCAGCCAAACGAAATCTGCGTAATTTTGTGAGGCAACCATGCTCGCCAGCCCACATTGGAATCGTCCCAAAGTAAGAACAACTGCAACGCAGCCTGGACAGATGCAGGGGAGGCGCATGAACCTGAATACGAGCCAGTCTGCCAGATCGCCTGCTTCTCAAGCCGCGCGAGTGTCGAGAGTGAGCATAAGTACACGCAGGAAAACTTCCTCCAATCCAAAGGCACTCTCCGGAAACCTCTCGTCTGCATGTCCCGCCCACGCTACAACTGCACGCTCACCGAAAGAGGCCGCACTTGAGCCTCGTCCTCTTCTTGGATGTCGTACTTATGGAGTGCCCGGCGCCAGACTTTAATCTGTTTTCTTGGCGAAAAAGGGTGAACACGCAATAAGGCTTTAGCATTCATTTGTGGTACTGCTCTAACAATTGAAGTCTAACGACGGTTCTGAAATTGCGAGAGCACCCAATACCAAATAGCATCTAACACGTTGCGAGGCCCTAGCTGCCCCTCCCCCTCTTTTTAAGGAACGCGCATATATTCCCGCCAGCGTGAGTGGGCACAGTGTGCTACTAGATGGGCTACCAGACATAGCGCCCCACAGTTGGATGCTGGACGTCAAACAGACCAGGGTGCACAACGCAACGACTATGCTACGCCCCGCGGCTAGCGCAAAGTTGAGCAGCATATGCAGGCCATGCGCCATGCCATGCCGCCAGCTATTGAAGGCACCAACCTGGCCCTGCTCAGCACCTTCACCCGTGAGGAAGAGGACACGCCGACACGGCAGGGGTTCTAGGGCTACTGCGCCTTACCGGCAGGCCTCACGCTCATGACGCCCACACACCCATACTCGCCGCCCCATTCACGCGCCTGGGCAACTGTTTCTCCCCCCCTCCCTCGCTTCGGAATGGGACTCGTCCGCACCCACCTGCCCGTCGAAGCAGCGCTTGCTGATGTTCTGGTTGATGTCTGGTGTGACGGGGTCCAGCCATTGCTCGCCCTTTCGCCGCCGCTTCTCCCTGCGGGTGCAAGGCAACACCGGGGTGCACAGGGCAGGAATTACACGGGGCAGGGAAGAAGGCATACGGGACAGAAAGCATATCGTACTGGTACTGATGGTTAAGGAAGGAGAGATCCCGATGACTCCCCATCTCCCTCCCAAATCATTGCCACTTGGCAGGTCCGTGCCCATGGCAAGGTCACCGACACACGCCCGCCCCTCTCCTCCCGCTAGGGGAAGCGTGCTTCGGCGGTCATTCCCGTTAGGGTACGGTTCGGTGTCCCTGGCCAGCGTCAGGCCCGGATCGATGTGCAACAGAAACACGCTCGCAACCCGTATACTGGTAGTTGCAACACAAGGGGCAAGGTCAAAGCCCCTTGTTACAGCCTCAACCCCAACGATTACGTGTCAGGTGGCGCCTTTGTTGCGTGCATTGGGCACTTGCGGCATAGCTGTCCTCAACTCAACGCATGGCGTCTTTTGCTCTACCTGACCTACAAGCGTCGTGTGTGCAATGCCGTGTGTGCAATGCAGCGGCATGGAAACCGCATGACTTCCCCCCGGTACACATGCGTGACCTCTTATGGCTAAGGAGGAGCGCCAGGCACTTCTGATGTTCTGCTGTACAGTGCAAAAATACAATCCTCTACAAATTGAGAACGCCAAGAAAGAAAGAACCAATACAACAAGAACACAACAAACCGAGACGGCAAATTTGGCATGAATCTCACTTGGGCACTTGTTGCAAGTAGCGCTGGTAGCCTATTGTGTTCTTGCCGTAGTCGACTTGCTTCTGCCGCTGCGCCAAGCGGTGCGGATCCAGACTGGCGATGGGTTGCTTCGGCAAAGCGCCGCCGGATGACTGTGAGCCGTTGGACTTGGCTGGCTTTTGCAGGCGAGGAAGACGAGTGCAGTCCTTGTCCTTGGCGTTATCACGCAGAAGCCGGGGGACTGTGGGAATGTGGGGTTTGGGTTGTGGTGCAGCAGGCGTGACGATAGTCGTACATGGGGAACGCAAGGAATGGTACGCAGTGCGAAGGACTTTAGGTAGCATGGTTGCAAATAGGCAGGATATGTGAGGAATGAGGAAGGCTGTTAGGTCGAGAGGCGGCAGCCGCGAGGCAGTAAACGCGGTCAAGCCTTTGAACGAGACGGTCAGCGGCAGCGCAAGCGGCGGCACTTATGGCGTTCTGTTGGTCAAGACCGAGGTCAGATACGCTCGGTAGACGTCGCTTGTGCTAGTGTCGTAACTTGGCGGTGGGAATAACAGGTGTTGGGCACGAGAGGAAAGACAGGCGCACACCTGGTATTACGTCTTCAACCTCAAAGTCTGCGCTAAAGTCCGCAACTGGGCGTCCCTTCTGCCTTGTAGACATGTCCATACTTGAGATTCAGTTCCCCCCACCACGTCAGAAGATATTGGCCCCGCGTGCCCGGTAGAGCCCGCGCGGCCAAATGGCTGCTCCGTTGCCCGTGGACTCACTCGAACAAACCCTTGCTAATTGCCTGCCCTGGATATTCCTATATGAAAATATGTACAAAATTAGGCAGGATATTATCGAGAGGTCAGGATTTCAGCAAGGCGGGCAAGGTTCGAAACTTAAACTATGCGCTGTATGCTGCAGGTCACGAGCTGTGTGACGTAGGCGAGAACGCGGAGAAGATCAGAGTGTACGTGAAGTCAAACTGTCACAGCTCGGACCATGCCTGTCCTCTTTTGGGAAACCATTGTACGACATTGTCTCTCAGCTCCCACATGGCAGTGGGAAAAAAGTTAATGTACATGCATTAGTATATGCTGCGATGGAGGCTGCCTCCCAAGTCATCCATGCCTTGCACAAGAAGATCTTGCTATGAGCCGGCGATTGACGGGGTATTCGCTTTGCAGCCTCCATGCCTACGCCTGTTAGAGCAGTCATGTCTGTTAGAGCAGTCTTTCGTTTTTGATGAACGTATACGTTTTTTTCCTCGACGCATGTCCGTCGCCTGGTTTTGTGACGTCGTGCAGCTCCCTGCGTTGTTCAGACCGCTGACAGCTGCACAGTTGTGTCTTTACTACTGTAAGACGTCTGGTCGCGCCTCAACTGCCTGGGTCGGTCGTTGCTTTGCGTGAAGCAGGTCCTTTCCGTAAACCCCTTGCTGTATCCTCTTACTCAAGCCCGTATGTTCCTACCGTCGGCTTCTGTAGCCTGTTACAATGGAGGACCAACAATATGCATCTTTTCCTTGCTTCCAACTGCTTTGGGAACCCCTTTTTGACGTTAGTCGAAGCAGCGTGTTAATCCTGTAGGCCCGCTTCATCCCCCTTGGCTCAGGCAAACGCTGTAAACGCCCTGACGGCCCTCGACTTCCAAAGGTGACACGTGCCGGAGCAGCTGAAGGGATATGGAATGCGGCAAAGAACGATAAGATTTCCGCGAGAACGTCCTTGGCTGAAGGCCCTGCAGCGTCTGCAGACGGCTGTTGAATCAAGAATCAGAGGTGTGATTTGCCTGTGGCATGTGTGTATTCGGCAACGGAGCTGTGGTGCCTGCTACGTGAGTGGCCTGGTTGGGGGAGAAGAACTTCCCCAAGGGTAGGCCTCCGCCACCACGTCGCCCCAGAAGGTAACCCGGGACAGAGGAGGTATCGCTGCTGACGCAGTCGTGCTGTGGTGGCTGTCTAAATTGCCGCGCCGAGGCGGCTTGCCAGGATAGGTGCGGTAAGGTCGCATCAAACACTACGTTTTAGGGGAGAATGCCGTGTACGCCGTGAAACGCGGTGTGGCTGCACCCGTGTCGGTGTATTTGCCCATGTGCGTGTATTCCGATACACACTGAACTCCCAGCCGCCCACCGTGGATCCCATTTCGCCAAAAAGCCACCTTCTTGGCATCCATGTGTGGCTTCGCGCGCCGCACACCGTGGCAGCAAGTACGGTATTCCTTGGGGAAGTACGACGCACCTCTGAATATCTTGGTGCCGTCGAGGCCTATGGTACGATACTTCATACCTCTGTTCAGGCCGTCGATTGCCTATCCTATACAGTGAATGGGTGCTACCAGCAGCGGTGAGACGGTAGGATTTGGTTTTTAGTCACTCGTTGCGTTAATTCAAGCACGGCGCTCCTGTAGTACGTGCACTTGCGTTCATTTCCTCCATACATACATGCGCCAAAGACGCGTCGACGCCCTCCGCTGCCTCCGTCACCACATGGCTGCGTCCTGCACACCAGCTGTAAGGAAGAGTGTGCAGCAATGCCCACAGCCTTGCCGTATGGCTTCAACGCAGGCTTGCGAGCGCTGTCCTGGCCAGCGAATTGATCCTGTGCTCCAGGGGCCAAATGTGAGTGGTTGACAGCGTTATCGGGGACCTTTACCAGGGGTGTGATGGAACTATTTTATGATCCAAGCATCTCACCAAACACAGCCCTCCAGCCGAACCCCCAGTGCTTGTGGCATATGGGGGCCATGTCCACAAATTTGAAAATGAAGGCGGCCGAAGCACACCTATTTCCAATAGCTAATTAGCGAAGGGCAGTCAGCCGCGGTACCAAAGCACCATGATGGTGCCACGCCTTGATGCTCAGATATTGGTTTATGTATCGTTGCTGGTCGCTATGGAACTGATCAGGGTCCTGGCTGCGCCTTGTCCGAGTTCCTATCGGGGCTGGTGATGTTGCTTTGTTCGCACTTAAGTCGCTTGTTAATGGGAGTGTGGGGGCCTTGAAAGGTTTACTGGTACAGCGCCAAGGTTGGCCACGAACCGTTTTGGTAGTTTGACTGTCATACTTTTTCGACTTGCCATTCGCCCTCTACATTATTTCTTAAATCCGTCATGTTGAGCCACTTGGCCGTGAAAGGCCGGCAAGCTTGTAACAAACGAATGGCGATGACAACCAGCTTACAGGGACGTCAAAAATTATTACGCTATTTCTTTATCCACTTTCTGTTCAAATGACAAAAGGCGGCCGCCCCGTCCCCGCGGGGCACTTAGCCGGTCCAGGTATGACGATGATAACCTGCCACGGCTGCAAGCTGGATATGACCTCACCGCAGCCATGTATTTATTAAGTCGATTTTCTGTTCTGTTCTGTATTTATTTTGTCGCAGCTGCAGTTGCGACAAAATAGCAGCTGCTTTAAAAGTTCGGGGACGCCGTAGTTCTGGGATATTCGTAAATTAAGCATTTCTAAGGTTCTATCTTAACATAAGTGCCGATTATGGTAGGTATTTGGATGTTTCATCGAAAGCCGCAATAAACGTTTCCAGATTAAAAACCGATTTTGTCCCTAGCGGTCGCAACTCGACACTAGCCGCAATTATCCGGTACCTCGTCCCAGGTTGTCGTAACTTCCGTAACGCCTTCTGCAGGAACGTGCATCCGATAGCTTTTGTCAGCTGACAAAAGAAGAGCACTGTCGCAGTAATGCTTCCCAGACTGGCAACTGCTGTATGACTGCCGAATGAATACGAGTAGCGTAATAACCTGCCCGCTGGTCGACGGCCGGCCGGTATGGCCGGTGTGTTGCCACTAAGTAAAGGCCCTTCCATTCTTGCCACTGCTAATCAAGAAGAATACGAAGCGGATGCCGAAATTCGGAGAGAGCAGGACGGCGCGATTCTTACGGCGACAAAGCCTCGAAGCAATGTCGGAAACCGTTCCTGAGCAGCGTGGGACAATTGCTTCCCCATGACTCTGCTAGTGATACTGTATGCAATGGTAGTGCATGCAGTGGCCGGCTAGCTGCGGGGAAAGGGGTCGTTGCGGAACCGGTCGCTGCGATCCGTCCAAGAAAAGGGCCTCAAAATGTAAGGTACCAGATGCAACGTTTGTCCCTATCCTTGTCCGTATCCTTAATCACAGCACGTCCAGGTGGTGTCCGAAGACACCGGATGGGGATACATCAGCGAAGATGTAGCCATCGGATGTACGAACCGTACAACTTTGCGGCTACATAAGCGGAAAAGTCTTGGAAATAGCCCCTTGAGTCCCTCGGATAAAGTATCAGGAAATTCAGAGATATGTACCTGCTTATGCACGTTACATCATCCCTCCCCTAAGTTACTGGTCTTCCCGACAGCCAGCTAACCTTGCCTCCACCGCCACACGTGAGGAGAAAGCAGGGATTCCGGAACCCCGCTGATGACAGACAAGTGTCCGAGAAAAGCATTGAAGTGTGAAGGCTTCTTGATCACACGGCCGTGACGATTAGTTTGAGGGACTTGATGCGGCTTCGAGCCAGAAGCGTCAGCGTCATTTGAAAGTGACCTTGTTACTTCAAGGTTCGCCGCAGCTGGTTAGGTTTAGTTCAGGTTCCCAAGCATCTAATTCTGGGCCCTGATCTTTCCATAGATTCTTCTTAGTCCGTCGTCCACTTCCTTGTGAAGCAGAATGGACTCAATTTCAAATTCCAGTTCCTCCTCAACAATTCGAGGTGGCGGAGGTAACTGAACGCGACCACCATCAAGATACGGGCAAAGGAACGACATTTGAAAGTCATCATGTGTACGAACAGCCGGCGGAAGATCCAACCGATACGCCACCGCGTTGATCTTTTCCTTAACCACAAAGGGTCCAAGCGAGGTAGCAACTAATGCAGCCCTCAATATTAATATGTTTCGTACTCAAAGAGTACGCGATCACCAACAGAAAGTCCTCTTTCCGAGCGACCTTTGTCAGCCCATTTCTTCACCCAATCTCGAGCAGCAGCCAAGCACAATTTAGCTCGTTCCAAAGTTCCAATTTGCACATCCGTACTGAATTCAACATACAACCGATTTGACATATTGGCAACGCTTTCCATGCGCTTCTGGGACTTCTCAACCCCGAATTTTCAAACTAGGTGGGAAGCCGGAGTTAGGGGCTTGTAACCGTGTATCAACCGAAAAGGAGTCGTTTGCGTGAGTTCATGCAATGAATTGTTCATGGCAATCTCAGCCATCGGTAAGTTACGGGAGCACAAGGATTGATACCGGAAACAAAATGGCGCAACATATCCTCCAGAATGCGATTTTTTCCGTTGTCGATTCCGTACCCTCCAAAAAGGGACTCGAAAATGCAGAGATGGACTTTGGATCCCTGTCACAATTACTACAAAGGGAGAGAATGCGATTGTTACAGTGGACCCTGAACGGGTCGAGTGCAGCGCCCCTAGGAACGCCTCACGCACAACACTGTGGGCCTTATTCAAAAAGAACTCGGCCTGGCCGTACTAACTTCACTGGACACAAGGCCTCAGTTAGTACACTCAGACAGAAAATATGAGGCTCCGACGTGAGCCCTCAGACCTCGTCATTGTACATATGGAACGCCATACGAACACACAACTGTGTTGAAGGAAATTTCAGCCGCTTTAACAGGGTCAACAGAGGCTTTGCAGGGCAAAATTCGCACCATCTTGGTGAGCTTGCCCACAAACACGTGAATCGGGGTATTGCCATCAGGTTCGGGGCCGCGCTTTGGCCGACAAACCTTCAGCAGTCTCGCGTCACTGCGTTCAATCACGCTACACAATTCCCAGGAAATAGGCAGTCACGCACAATCGCAAAGCGAAGGCAAGAACAAGAAGGGCCACAGCTGCGGGCGGCAAATGACATTTCGGTGTGGCGGCCCTTTCTCCAATTGCTCCGGGAACTGAGGTTTACTGTTGTCGTCCAAAGGGCAGAGAAGGCGGGTCAGAAGAGGTCAGAGAAACAGGCCGTAACCAACGGCACGGTGTTACATCAACGCGCGGCAGCAAAATACCGCCCACTTAAGCACTATAACCACTGCCTTATACCCGCATTGCCGTTGGCACCTGTTCGGGAGCCTCCATCATAGCAAAATAGCGATTCGGTTGAAGTTATTTGGCACTTTGTTTTAACTGCACCCATCGAACCAATCTTACCGTGCAGTGTTGTCATCTTAAGAAGAAGGTTAGACTGCCCAGCCCAAATGGACGAAGTAGCTCGGTCGCCCAGCTGGAAACCAGAGCAATATCACGTATACGTCAGGAGTAATTTTGTCGTCCTCCCTGGAATTTGTAAATGATGCAAAACAGTTACCTATTTTGAATGTATATGCATATGCACACAAATTCTGCTGGCTAACCCGAGCCGCTGAGGAGAATCACGTGGCAGGCGCTAAACGGCTAAACGGCAAATGCCGTTCACGCAAACTCTTTCGACCTCAAAAAAATCTTGTAAGCAAGCAAAATTGATCGAATCAAGTACAGCATTTAAGTTTCGGTCTAGTTGCGGTCCAGAAGTTTATTTCATTTTATCGATGCAAGTATGAGAAACTAGTACAGGAATCCAGCCTTCATACACAGAGTAGGATATACAGAACGTTTTTAGTTCTGTTACCAGGCATACCATTGGGGATTCATTTCAAGATATGAACGTACTTAGCACATCAACCCGGCAGAAGTGCATTTGCGAAGCGGCGGGAACTCCTTTAATTTCCCGGGTCAAAGTGCTTTATGTAGTATGCATGAATTACACTGCGCGTAATACACGCGACGGCTCGCCAGCTTGGCTGGTAGCAGGGCTGTGATACCCACTCGGACTACTTCAAGGGGCGTTAAAATCTCAAGCCGCTTAATACACTTGATCATGTCTGTGCCCTGCTTCTGTTGGCGCTGGTGTCAAACGGCTACCTCCGCTTCACCCTGGGGAACCGCTGAGAACGAGGGCGTTGCAGAGAACGCTACCCGCCGCCTGCATACGGCCTCCTCGACCACGCTGCCGGCCGCGAGCACGAGCTATGGAGCAACGCCGACAGGAACTGCCATGACCTGCGACCGGCCCACACCTCAAAGCAGCGTGCTGGCCCAGTCGGTTTCGCTGCGACAGCCGGCATCACTGCCATCTACTGCCGAAGCAGCGCCGCAGTACACTGGTACACCCCCTTCGCCGTTCGAGTCCCGGGAAATGTCCTCTGACCCAAGAGAACGCACCCTAGCCCATCAGGTGTGCCCGTGTGCCCAACTCCGCCCGCTGCTGCCCTGTGCAATAGCAATGGCCCCTATGTACGCTCCTAATCAGGATCGGGAAACCCAATGCGGAGTTTGCTAGTCCACTGCTGGGCGCCGTTATTTGAATATACAACGGTGCATGCATGGCTGAGTACTTTGCTGAATCGCATTGGAGCTGGGCGGTTTCCTCCACTTTTCAGGTCCTCCACCGCGATGGTGAATTAACGTCTCCCCCTCACTCCCCACGCACGCCTTCCTAGGCAATCGATGGCGAATTTGCCCGCAATGGAATCGACGGGGTGTCTGTCATCGACTCTTTTTCCGTTTCCATGCACTCTAGTTATGTGATCTGCCCCGTACCCTTCGTCTGCCCCAGGACGCCCTCAGCTCGGCAGCCGCCGCGGCGGCTGCGGCAGCCGCCGCTGCTGCAACCTTCAACCAGTTGCGAAGCCTGCTGCCCCTCCACGGCGAGCTCACCCAGCTGTCATGGATTGGCAGCGGCTCTGGAGGCCGCGTGTATGGGGGTCTGTGGCGTGGCAGTCCCGTGGCAGTCAAGATTTTGGTCAGCAATACCCCGGACGAAGTACGGGAGAATGTACGGGAGGCGCTCCTGAATCGCGTCGCCTCGCACCCTCATATGGTGCAGTGCTTTGCTGCCTTCTCCGGTTACGTTACGGAGGCTGACGTCGCGCCGCGACCACAGGCGGCTGGGACGGCAGTAGCATCAACAGCATATGCTGTTCTGCGGCAGCAGCAGCAGCAGCAGCAGCCGGTGCCTTCAAGCGAGGAGGGTGGGCAACAGAGGCAGCAGCAGGGAACAGGGTTGCAGGCTAAGGGTCACAGCAGCCAGCAGCGGCGTGGAGAAGGGGCGAAAGGGCAGCGTGGAAAGGTTGCGGAGCCGCCGGGGTTGCATCGGGCCGCTTCATCCCAACCGTCTGGCAGCAGCCGCGGCGGCGGCGGCGGCGACGACAGCGGCGTTTCGCGTAGCTGCTCGGCGGCGGCGGCGCCGCCAGTCCCCTTGCCACCGCCGCCAGATCAACTGCCCCTGGACCCCTCCCCCTCGCGCCACCTGCCCCTGGGTGGGCCAGCAGTTTATTACCGCCAGCAACACCAGCACCAAAATCAACATCAACGCCAGGACCAGCATCAGCATCAGGACCTAGCTATCGGGCCACACCCCATTCACGTCATGCTTGCTGAAACAGGACCCCAGGGACACCACCTTGATGACACCCATATGCAGCAACAGCAGCAGCAACAACAACAAGATCAACGACAGCAGCAGCAACAACAACAAGATCAACAACAACAACAACAACAAGATCAACAACAGCAGGAGCAGCAAGATCAACAGCAGCAGCAGCAGCAGGAACAGGGACACAGGCAGCTGCACGGGATGACGGATCTTGAACAAGGCGCCCAAGGACGCGGTCCCTTGGGAGCCTGCGGTGAGAATCCAAATTTACTTCCGGATCTGGATCAGGTTTCAACTGCACCATCCGCATTTATTAAATCCAAGGATATGGACCTGCTCGTACTAGGAGATGGCGGCGGTGGTGGGAACGACAGGTCAGCGCCCACGTCGTACACGGCTGTTTCTGTTACTCAGGCGCTAAAATCTCTGGGGTCTGAAGGCCTCCCCGGCGAAGTGGGCCTTTTGGAGCAGCAGCCGCAGGTATTGCTGGAGGAAGGGGAGGTGCATGAACGGCAAGAGGAGCAACACGACGAGCATCATCAGCAACAGCAGCGCAGATCGGGTCGCGGGCTGGGAACCACATCTCGCTCATCCACGGTCTCTACGACAGCAAACGGCGCCATGCCGTCCATCAGCCCCGCCGCCGCCACCGTCACGGTCAGTACTGCGGCGGCGACCACAGCCTTGTTCAACGAGTCTGCCGGAGACGGGGCGCCGCGACAGGGCGCTGCCGAAGCCGCCAGAGATGATGACAGGCCCACTTCTCCATCACTGGCAGGGCCACGCGGACGGACCCCCCGTGGCAGCAGCGGCGGTGGGGGAAATGCTGACGGCTGTCAAGACCACGGTAGCGGAGGTCCTTTTGCCCTTGAAAAGTGCAGCCTGTCACTGGTGAACCTAGATGCAAGCGCCGGCGGAGGCGGCGGAGGCGGGGCTGCTGGCGGAGGAGCGCCGCGCGCTTCCAGCCGTACGACGTTGACCCTGTCAGACCTGATAGGATCCGCCGTACTGGACGAGCACAACGTGCAGTCCAATGAGCTATGGGAGGTTCTGGCGGCTTCAGGTGCACGGCCGGGGGTGCATTGCACTCTGGTGCTCATGGAGGTGCGGTCCACCTTCAAGCAGAGCTGTGCTGCCGGGGCCCCGTAGTTGTAGGCGCGTGGAAGAGGGTGGCTAGAGGGACGGAGATGTGTCTGGAACATATTCCGAAGGGAGGGAAAAGACCACTCGAAGCGAGGCGCGGGTGAATGGAAAGGGTGTGAGGTGAAAGACGGAACGTGCATGCGCTTGTCGGTGTTACTTTACGTGTGTGTGCGTGATGCCGCTGTTTGTTGATGTTGTTACAGCGGCGGGTAGCTACCAAGCTTCTATGCATGAAAGCAAAGAAGCCGAAGAGCCAAAGGGCACATCGACAACAACGTGAGTGCGTACGTGGGGTACTTTAGTGTTCCTGAGGCCCCCAAGGGTCACTAAACCCACACGCGTTAACTCCTAACGAGGCTTCTCGGCCCCCAGCTGTCGCCCTCTTAGGCATCTCCTTCCTCCCCCCCCCACACACACATCACCCGGGTTGAGTATTTCCCCGGCAGCCTCGTCCTGACCGCCCTCATTACCCATTTTCACCCTCCCTCCCCCTCTCCCGCCTTCCCAGTTGTGCGACCTTGGCACTTTGCAGCAGCTCATGCAACGACATCCCCTCAGTGCCGTACGGTCTGCGGAACGATCCAACGATTTGCTTGCGCTTTTACGTACGGCACTGGAGATTGCGCAGGTAGGCGGATTATGTAACTGACAGGAACTGTTAGGAAAGATCACTCCTGTTGTTGACCTGGACTGGGTTGTATTCTGCTGTGTGGCTTTTTGATAAGTCCTGGAAGAAGAGCTCCTGTCTAACAACATCTTGTTTGCGTGTATGTATGTATGTATGTATGTATGTATGTATGTATGTATGTATGTATGTATGTATGTATGTATGTATGTATGTATGTATGTATGTATGTATGTATCTGTTACATATCGATCCGGGCCTGACGGTGTCCAGGGGCACCTAACCGTACCCCAACGGGAACGACCGCCGAAGCACTCCATTATTGGAGGGCCGCTGTTATCGATCAAAACCCGAAGAGTGTGTGTGTGTATGTGTGTTATGCACCACCTTCTGGAATTCCGTTACCCTCCAAAGGTCTCGTGACGAGGAGTCCATGGACACTAGAGGGTCCCAAGGAGCCCCCCCAGAGGGCCCTAAGGGCCGAAATAGGCTGTCCGAAGTAGATGACAGACAATCGCAGGTAGTTCCTACTCCATATGTACGAAGATGCCCGTTACTGGCGGCCTTTTCCAGTGCTACACGCTTTAAATACTCGTGACCCGTATATTTTTACTGCAAAAAATCGTGAACACATTGAAGCGTTCGCTGCAGCTGCAGCTGCAGCCGGTGTTGCGTCGCGTCACCACACTCACGCCAATCCGCTGTCCGCACCGGCCGACCGCTTCAAGTCGAGGACAATGCTTTCCAGCGGCTTCCCTTCTCCCCTTCGTACCCCGGAGCCTCAACCTGATCTTCCCCCCCTTTTCCCCCCATACACACCCCACTAATACACACATGCAGGGCATGTGCCACCTGCATTCCCTGGATATTGTACACGGAGACCTGAAACCGAGGTGAGGAGCACTGCGGTGCCGGCGGCGGTAGAGTACGGTGATGGTGGGTGGCTACGATGCGTTTTCAAAGCACTCGCCGCTGCGAGGCTTCTATAACCACCTTCAAAATCACTTGGGGGGCGGGTACTACCCAAGTGTACGGCCGGACGCGACGGTTCCCTTCCGCTCGAGCGGATAGATGACCCCCTAGGGGATATGGCTCCGTGCTCTGCCTCGTGGCTGAAGCCCGCAAGCGGTAAGCCAGTCGGGCACCGCCCGGACACCACACTAGCTTTTAGACCTCCTCACACTTTTTCCCGCCGCCCTATTCCCCCCCAACCCTCCCCACTGACATTGCCGTTGCTGTCGCCATTACTGTCACCACGGTCAATGATACGGTGTAGCAATGTCCTGCTGCAATCTATTGCACCGATGTCGGCACGTAGCGGCGGTTCCTCGCGGCTGTGGGAGCAGGACTTAAGAGGTTACACAGCCAAGGTACGGCGCAGTACGACATGGCTTGTATGATACTGGACTCCCGGTACGGGAAAGGGATTCCGGTTCCACAGCGCGTGTATTCGTATGTATGTGCGGCTGCCAGGGCATTGCAGTTTAACAGTGATGGAGAAGCGGGTAACACGTGTTTTAATTGTATGCAGGGTCGTCGTTGTAGACTCCCTTCTCCGTGCGTGTGTGCGTGTACGGGTGTGTAAGGATGTGTGTGTGTGTGTCTGTGTGTGTCTGTGTGTGCGCGCATGCATGGCACTGCTACGGTCGTTTAAACTAACTAACTAACTAACGGGGGCAATAAGCCCCCGCCCCTAGCACACGATTGCCCCGGAGCTCACTGGGTGAGTTGTTGCAGAATCCACCACCGCCGAGCTAGCGGGCGAATGGCCAAGTTTGCATTTCGAAAAGTACAATTGGTTAATCTATTTAGGCAACACATGCTTATAAATCATGTGTGCACGCGTACTGCCCGCAAAACTTAAAACCGCAACCGAACGAATGTTGCGTGTCACAGGTGTCGGACTTTGGGCTGGCTGCGCATCAGGTAGGTACGGGTCTGTACGGGATTGTACTGTACGGATGCAGGTTCGGGTCTTGGGTGTTTGGATGGTTGGTAGGATGTGTCGATATTAAGTTGGTTGGTTAGGTGGGGGGGGGGTCGCAACCAAAAATGAGCCGTTATCGCTGCTTATTTCCCACGGGCCAGAATCCCCAGGAACTCGCCAAAAGTGGCCGTCGCATGGACCTCTACTTAACCACCGCTCCTCAGCGCCTTCCGCCTACTTACCATCTGCTGCAGTTGTAACAATTCGGACAACCCTAAAACACTGTTCCCCCCCCGTCCTGCCTGCCAGCCCGGCACCTCCGACTCAGGCCTGGAGGCGCCTGACGTGCACCAAACCGCCAACGGTCTGAGCGACCCTCGGTCGCTGTCTCGGGGCTGGGGCTCATTGCCGTACATGGCTCCAGGTAAGGGTACGACCGCAAGCAGCTCCTTCAACAAATACCGCTACCGTGCATAGGCGCTGCGTTAAAGAACGTCGTACGTCACTCACGAATGCAGCGTTCGTCAGTTTTAAGAGGAACAGAGAGGAGCCAAAGCGTGAAGGTTTGTTCTCCGCAGCTTACAAGGGTTCCTCTCGAATCTGAAGGTTCGTACTCTGTGTCTGTCTGTATGTATGTTACACCTCCAGACCGCGTTACCCAGAAAGACGGGTGCGTGGGTCTAATCCCAGCAGGGTGTAACGCGAGGCTGTACGAGCCAGCGGAGGGGCCCAAGAGCCTCCTGAGTGCCGCAAGTTAGATAAGAGGAGGATGACAGAGTACAAAATACAAAATCTAAGCAACGGGGCCTGATGTGGAATTTAAATGGAATTTATCACTCAAAGACCAACATGCTAAACCTACGAATGCCCACCTTCCCATTTGACCCACGCAGAAGTCCCGGATCGAGGCCCCTCCAAAAAGAGTGATGTCTGGTCGTACGGCATGTTGCTGTACTACATGTGTTGCGGCAAGCCGCCGTACGCGTCGCATGGCAAGCTACGCAGCGTGCAGCTCTTGCTGGGGATCGTGCATGGCACTCTGTCGCTAGACTGGCCGGATGACACGTACCGTCTGCTGCGGCGCCTGTCGGAAACGTGCTGCCAGCGGGACCCCACAGCGCGACCTCCCTTCTCAAGAATCGTACCTGCGCTGCAACGGCTATTGCGCCACGTGCTGGAGTATCCCGAGCCCGCTTCCGCACCGCGCCGCGCCGACCGGAGCCGCGGTGGCGGCGGCGGCGCTGCCGGCGGCGGCGGTACTGCCGGCGGTGGCAACAGCGGCATGGGTTCGACAGGGACGGGTAGCCTCAGCCTGGGATGTCTGGATGCGAGCGGAGACGCACGCCAGGGAGGGGTCGGCGGGGGGGGCGGGGGCGCCAGTAACTGCAACAGCGGCGGCGGCGGCGGCGGCGCGGTGTGGTTGGGAGACACCCTGGAGCACGGCAGCAGTAGCGGTGACCCGGGAACCCCGCGGCGGGCGCGGAGGCTGCCACCGCTTACAGTCTCGGAGGCGGCGGAGTGCAAGGGGTTGCCGTCCCTCAGCCATGTATACAGCCGCTGCATGGTGCTTCCCCAGGGGGTCAGAGGGCGACATTTACTTGTAGGATTGTCGGCTACGACTGCGACCGCTGCCGCCGCCGCCGCTGCCGCCGCGACCGCCGCCGCCGCGGTTGGGATGGGGACGGCGGCGGCGGCAGCGGTGGAAGAGGGGATGGAGGCGACGTTGGCGCCGCCGCCGCGGCTGCTGCCGTCGCCCTCGCCGCCGCAAGTTCGTTCCATAACCCTGGACGCCTCGTCGGTTTGCGCCACGGAATCCAGTTCTATGGCGGACAGATCGTCGTACACTTGTACGAAGAGCAATTTTGCAGGGCTTGTTGAGAACTCTCAGGTACACTATGGGCACGTCTTCTTCCTCCCATTTCCTGCTTCGTTTCGTTCTTCCCTTGTTTTTTTTGTTTTTTCGTTTTCTGTAATGTGCTGTGCTGTACAGTGTCGTTTACGTTGACGTTCCCGTGTATTAATGGCCTTTAGTTGTTGTCTTATTTGGTGCAGGAATCCTTCTTGGAGCCTCCTTCCCTGCTGCCGCCTCTCTTATTGAATCGCTGCTGCACAATCCAACAACGAACGCAGGGAGTGGCGTTGAGGACTCCCGGCGGGGTTGCAGTTATTGCTGCTGGTGGAAGTGTTGGCGGTCTACTCGGTGGTGCTTCCGCCCCCATCATTACTGTTGACGCGTCCTTTGAATGCGGTTCACCAGCCATCACATCGCGAGCAGCTGGGCTGTAGTCAATTAAAACAGCCGTCCTAGCAGCAGCAGCAGCAGCAGTTCCATTGCCTGTTGCAGACATACCCTAAAATGTCACCACTACTGAATATGCGAGTCAACCACCGCTACTGCTGCTCAGCAATGATTACTCCGGAGCCAGAGATTAGCTTCAGCGATTGTCACGGCTGCCGTCATCGGCGCCCCCGCCGCCGCCGCCGCCATTGTCATGGACATCTTGGGTGCCAGCGGCGCCGCCGTTGCTGCGCTTGCCCCTTTGGGGCTCCCTCCCGGAGAGCCTTCCTTGAATGGGTGTCCCCAAGCAAGCCAGCAGCCCAACCTACCCGCAAGCAAGCAAGCAGGTTTGGTGCCGTGGGTTGATCTCGGGGCCCAGTGGGGTGCGGGAAACCCGCGTTGTGAGGGGGTTGTGAGGGGGGAGTTTGGGTGTAGGGACGAGGCTGCATTACGAGGCCGTTACCGGGGTGCTTTGCGGTTATGGCCGCGTCCAACAAGGTGCGGTAAAGATGCGGGTTCCATAGGGCTTTGGGTGTACTGCCGAGCGGCCGTGATTGCTCCGTTCAACTCCCCTCTGATCCGTTCAGATCCATTGCCGGATCTGTATGAATGCATGCATGTGTGCCGTTTCTTGAAGTTGCTGTATCCGTTTGCGGTGTGGTTGCTGTTGGCAAGTGGGTTGCCGTCGTTGTCCTTAAGAATGGGCGATTTTTTGACGTGTACAAGGTACAAGGGTACAAGGGTACGACGATGGTGCATGTGAGGTACAGGTTAAACCACGACACGAGTGGCAGCGGCTACAGTGAGTTGAATGATAAGACAGAAGGAGTTAACGAAGGAAGGCTGGTAATGGCGAGGATGCTTGCAAAGACTCAAGAATAATGCGAAGAGGTTTTCGTTTTTTCGCAAAACGTGGAAGGAAAAAGTATCCGTTAACGCAAAAAGCATAATAGCTTTTGTTGCGTGCTTGCCTCCGGGTTGCATGTCCATCTTCACTAATTGTGGGTTTGTCCCTTTGATGTGGGTAAAATAGTCTTTCACCTGGACAAGATTCATAAAAATAACTTCATCGCGAAAATCCTCTTCCACACACAAGATTTCATATACGAATATTTTTTCGTTACCGAAAACATCATTTGTAGCTGCAGTACTGGTTGCATGCATTTCGCGACTTGTTGCATTTTTGTACATGACTTTAAATGTGCGCTAAAGTTCATTGTGTTCCATGGAATGGGTTCCATTTCTGACTCAGCTCAGATCGGATCCACTTCCCGTGGATGCGGCATTGAGGGCGGTGGGCGGAAGGCAAAGTCGACATCCTGGCGACGGTGCGGCTGTGTGGAATCTTTCGCAGGCATCGTAGCGTTTGGGTGACGAAGCCTCTTCCGCAATATCTAGGACCTGGCAGTGGAGGTTCACCCTTCGGTCTCATGGGGCGGGGTGAGAATTGTGTACATGGGTGAGTGCGTGATCGGCAGTGTTGCTCTGGGCACGACGCTCAAGGAGCCTTGTAGTTGCAAGCTTGTCACAAACCCAGGTGGCTGTGTATGCAGACTGCCCAGGCAAACACTGCCTTCATGGGCACACGCGCGTAGCGTATTCCGCTTTCAAGCACCTATGCAGTCGTATATGCGTACGTGCATATGCTCATGCGCAGAAGAAAGCTGGATGAGGGCTTGCGGGTTATGAGAATGTACGGGATGGGGCCTCTTATGGCGTCTAAAGCTCGTTATGTCATGTTTCTTTTTGCCCTGTTGGATGAATGAGGTCCCCCGGCTTCCAACAGCGGCGTCAGGTTTTCACGGGTGACACACGTCTGATGATGAGGGGGCGTGTGGCGGGTACAGTAGGCTAGCCGCACGTGCCATGTCACGTGCCATGTCATAAAGCGCGTCTTTTTATGTGATCATGGACGTAGTTACGCTCGCATCGCTTTCTTGAAGTATTACATTTATTTACTCCTGACCAGTGGTGTTACTCCTACTTCTACTTCTACTACTACTACTGCTCCTGCTCCTCCTACTACTACTGTTACTCGTCATGACGGTATTTGCAAACGGCTTGCTTTGGGGCATATGGCCGTGATAGCGCCGCCACCACGGGATACTGCGTGTGCGTGTGTGTATATGCGTGTATGTGTTTTATGTGTTTTATGTGACGACCGGTTTAGGCCGCGACCAGAAGGTAGGGCGGAGGACGTGTGTCGCTGTAGGCTCCAGCATTATCACTGCCTGAGGGGAAAGGAGGGACTAAGGGTGCATTAGGGGGGTAGCGCAGCGGACGACCAAATCCTTTAAACGTCCCCTGATGACCACCCGCCGAAAATGCAATAGGCAGCCTGAGTATGTATGTATGTATGTATGTATGTATGTATGTATGTATGTATGTATGTATGTATGTATGTATGTATGTATGTATGTATGTATGTATGTATGTATGTATGTATGTATGTATGTATGTATGTATGTATGTATGTATGCAAGTTGGGTTTCTTAGGTAAAAGGACGATGGGGGGGCCGGCCTTGCTGTGTGTGTGTCTGTATGTGTGTCCTGTTATGCAGCGCTAGGTTTGCGTGTGTGATACCATTGGCGTTAGTGTGGTACCCGGACGCGTTTGGCGGGCGGGCGTGTGTATGTATGTTTGTGTGTGTCTGCGCGCTTGTGTGTGTGCGCGTGTGTGTGATGGTTACAAGTATCTGACCGGACCTGACACTGGCCAGGGGCTACTGCCCAGCCCCAACGGAAAGGCGCTTAAGCTCTCTCTTGCGGACGGGGCCTCTGTCCCCTCCTGGGCAGCCGAGAGCTGCAGGTCCGCTAGCTCCGCGCGCCTCCCCCCCGGGGGCTTAGGAAGCGTCGCACGCGCGCACGCTCTCACAACTCAAGGCTCCGTCGCGCGAGTTTGAGCACTGAGCCTGAAACACGCAACAAGACTCCTCGCCATCCCCGGCCTGATCCGGCTCTCGGGTTGGGGTGAGGGTTCACTAAGACCGAGGAAACCCGGAAACTCTGTACAGACCCTACCCCTCCCTATCAAGGCACGAGGCCCCAATAGAAAGCCCACCCGGTCTCTCAGCTGATTCTCCGATGGGGGGACCGTTGGGCGGGCAGGGTTCAAGAAACTCGCGCTAACCACCTCTCGAGCGCATGCGACGGGGGTTGGGGGTTGGGCACAGACTAGGCTAGCAGCTGTCAGTTCACCGACGGGGCTAGGGATGCCTCGAGGCAGCACCACACCGGCACATCTCACACAGCGTCACCCAGTCTGCTCTACAGCCACAACCTCCGCGTGCGACTCTTCCCAAGCCCTGCAGCAGCGAGCTCTCAAAACCCCTCTGCCAGTGCCCCTGCCTTGGCGCAACCTGTGGCGAGGCGAGAGCCGTACCACTCGAAAAGCCCTCTACCCAGACCCAACAAATAAAAACCCTCCGGGGCCTATCCCCTCCTCGACCAGCGGGATAGCTCATCTACCGGGATCCCCCTAGCTCACCTACCGGGATCTCCCAGCCCAACTGGCTGTATGCAACACAGGCGCCGCGCCGAGGCTGCCAGAAGTCGGCGGCACCGCACGACGGCTCTCGCGACCTCCAGCCCCGGGGCTGCTGGGGCCTCGGGCGCGGGTGGATAGCGGGGGGGGTTGCCGCCCGCAGTCCCGTCCGTGTGCACGTTCCATAGCGGACAGCGCCGCAAGGCTGACCACGTCCCACACGCACCGCGGCACCCCTGCCGGTGCCTCTGCGAGCGACACGTTCGCCTGGGATATGGGTCCGGACGCGTAGGCCGAGATCTGCTGTATCACCGCCGCCTGCGCCACTTTGCACTCTCAGAAGTGGCGCGCACGCTGGGAGCACTGCAGCGCCTGCTGCTGTTGTCCTGCCGCTCCTCCAAATCCGCCACATCCACACGGCTCCACTGGGGGGCCGCGTAGATGCGCGTTGAAGGGCAGGGGAACGGCGTCGACAGCCGGGCGCCAGAGAGTTGCCTTGTGATCCCGCTCCCACTGTTGACCATCCACAGCCATCGCAGTGTTTCCGGTATGCAGCAATCCTTGCTGCTTAGGGGCTGCTGCTGTGGCTGCTGCGGCTGTGGCTATTGTAGCTGGCTGCTGCGGCTGTGGCTGCCTCGCCTCCTGCTCGTACGCTGCATGCATGCGGGTCCGGCGCTCCGTCACCGCCTGTTGCTATAGCTGTAGGTGTGTGGCGAGGCCCCCGACCGCGAGGCCACGCAGTTCCAAGTGCAGAGAGGCCCCCAGCCGCAAGCAGCCGACATGGCCCACCAGTCGCGCATGTACCGCGTCCTTGGAGTCCTCGGAGCCCTGCTGCACGCTCTGGGTGGTCCAGGACCTCTGCAGCCGCTGCGCTAGTAGCCGCGGCGCTGACGTGTCACCACCCGCGGCATTCTACTAGTGCAGTAGCCAGGCGCGCTGTGTCCACTAAGCTAGTAGCCGCGGCGCTCACATGTCACCACTAGTGGCGTTCTACTAGTGCAGTAGCCAGGCGCGCTGTGTCCACTATCCTAGTAGCCGCGGCGCTGACTTGTCACCACCCGCGGCATTCTACTAGTGCAGTAGCCAGGCGCGCTGTGTCCACTATCCTAGTAGCCGCGGCGCTGACGTGTCACCACCCGCGGCATTCTACTAGTGCAGTAGCCAGGCGCGCTGTGTCCACTATCCTAGTAGCCGCGGCGCTGACGTGTCACCACCCGCGGCATTCTACTAGTGCAGTAGCCAGGCGCGCTGTGTCCACTATCCTAGTAGCCGCGGCGCTGACGTGTCACCACCCGCGGCATTCTACTAGTGCAGTAGCCAGGCGCGCTGTGTCCACTATCTAGTAGCCGCGGCGCTGACGTGTCACCACCCGCGGCATTCTACTAGTGCAGTAGCCAGGCGCGCTGTGTCCACTATCCTAGTAGCCGCGGCGCTGACGTGTCACCACCCGCGGCATTCTACTAGTGCAGTAGCCAGGCGCGCTGTGTCCACTATCCTAGTAGCCGCGGCGCTGACGTGTCACCACCCGCGGCATTCTACTAGTGCAGTAGCCAGGCGCGCTGTGTCCACTATCCTAGTAGCCGCGGCGCTGACGTGTCACCACCCGCGGCATTCTACTAGTGCAGTAGCCAGGCGCGCTGTGTCCACTATCCTAGTAGCCGCGGCGCTGACGTGTCACCACCCGCGGCATTCTACTAGTGCAGTAGCCAGGCGCGCTGTGTCCACTATCCTAGTAGCCGCGGCGCTGACATGTCACCACCCGCGGCATTCTACTAGTGCAGTAGCCAGGCGCGCTGTGTCCA